ATCTACGCCGTAGTTGCACGAACCACCTTTCTAAATCGACAATGACTTCCGAAGCTGCATAATCGGATAGGAACACAAGACCGAAGCTTCAGGGGCAGAATGGAGTCAGAAAAAGTGCCCCATGTGCTAATCTTACTATCTGCACTGTAAAGAAGCCTATCCCCTTTGTTACACAACAGGCATTCTCTACCAATTATGACGGGCGTAATAGGTGTAAGCTACCAATATAAGCAGAGCAAGGGATACTCACTTCCACAGTCCAATACAGTAGTATTAGCACATGGGGCACTTTTTCTGACTCCATTCTGAGGGGGTAATGAAGCGAGGATCATTGCCGTATGTAATGAAGCTAAAGAGACCGGCCGATGCTTCTTGATATATGAGCGTGGAGAGGATTATCTGGAGAATAACCCGCGGAGGTAGGGATTCTCAGATGGTATCCAGGGGTTTCTTCTAGGGTGCCGAGACTTGTTATTACTATTAGTCCGGGTGCTTGGCCGGTTGTCGTGATCATTTTCCGCGGCCCAATAATAGACCCTACTTGTAAGCCATTTTCATGCCGTCACCTTTGAATGTGGCTTGAATATTTCCCCAAAAATACCGACCTCATTATTTGTGTGCCGTCTCACAGGCGAGAGAAAAAAAAACACATATCCAAAAGTAACAAGTATCGTATCGTATTCTCTGAACTAGTCGACTCTAGGCCGGTTTATGGCGTGCTCTCGTGTTATGGATACCCAGAGTATTGGGTCATGTTAGGAAGCAGGCTAGAATAAATCGTATCGTATTACATAGTAACTACCGAGATTGGGTGTTGTAATGCAGTTGAGTAACTTGAAACGAGAAGCTGGCTTCCTCATTGAGACATTTCTCGAATCTGTCCCAAGCTCTTGGGTCTTTCAAGGGCTTTTTTCACTTACTGTCATATGGTATGTTCTGTACATAATACTACGCTGTATTGTACATACCTAGGACCTAGGTAGACACATAGCCAAGATACCTTCATCTTCTTCGTTGTTTCTAACGGAATTGTATGTATTCGCGCATGAAGATACAAGGTATATCCTAGATGCGTGGGTGTGGCGCCTCGTTTTTTTCTCTTGATGGGATGTTCCGCCGTCAAGTCACTTTTCTTCATCAATTAGCCAAGGAAGCCAAACTGGCGTTGCAGTCGTTGGTGGCTTGTCGGAGCCCACACTTCGACCATTCTGTTTCTATTTCTGATTGGCCAATTCAGGGAAGCATACGTATGCAGCCTGTTTAGCTATCAATACGCCTTCGTAGCCTTCGTGAGCCTCATTTTCGGTTGACTATGCGAATAACTGAGAGGCGTCATTTTTTGCCAATGAAAGAATATGAATATGACGTTCGCCATTCATAGACGCGATCGGTGGCTGGTCCGTCCCGTGTGTAAGATGTACTATGTAAGATTCGGAGAGTTGTAAAAGTTCCAAGGTTCCAAAGTTCATCTGCAACTGGTCGAGGCTCGAGAAGGAGAATCTCGTCACGTAAGAGAGATACAAAAGAAGCAAGTTTGCATCGGAGTGGATAATTGAAGAATTTCGAGCCAACATACCGAATTGGACTTTAGGTATGATCACCGAGCTCTTTGACTGGATACCGTCTGGATAGTTCATGTTACTAAAAAGTAAACACCTGCATATGTAGTAGAGAAGAACTACTAGGTGCTAAGTATGGTAGAGGGGGGGAGGAGAAAAAGAGAACATGAACTAAGATGCTAAGGTAAAGAGTCCCGCATGCAGGAGCAATGGAGCATAGGTACCTTACCTTGATACCTAGGTCGCTACTACTTAGAGTAATGCTAGGTGGAGCATAGATCCAGTAGCTTACATAACGACTGCGACTTGTAGAACGTATATCCTTGTCATTATCCGCACTAGGCATTCCAAGCTCTTGCTGACTGGTACCTTAACTGCTTACGTACCTTTTAGTACTATGTAATCTGGCAGTCTGGCTGGGCAATCTCAAACTGTTGAAACTCGATCTCGTACCAACCACCTGGACACCAGTACCAACTACCTAGTAGTAGTCAAGGGGAGAATTCCGAACAGAATATTCTGTGCTTAACCTATCTATCTTTAGCCGAACCGTTCATCGTTCATCGTTCATCGGCTGCTTAACCCGATGGCATGGCGCTGTCTCGAACGTTGCTTATTGACGCTCCAATTTTCGAGTGTCGATGCCCAAATGAGGGCCTTGGGACATTAGGACCTTGGGTATCACAGAGATCATCTTAGATCATCACAGGTAAGATGGGTAATAAAATAGAGAAATGATTCTGGGGTCGTCGGGGAAAGCTTTAGGGCTTCTTGGTGCGGCACAAGCTCGAATGTAGTGCTATGAAGCTAGCTTTGACAAGCAGCTGTCTTTAACTAGCAGACTGCACCTAATGAAGGCCCCACGGCACACGGTCCACGGCAATTGAAGCGACGCAATATCGTTGACGACGATCTAGCTTTCGTCTTTGGTGTCTTTTGTTGTTTCGAGCCCCATGGATGGGTAGGTACTAGTCGACGCCCCCGTTCCTTCAAGACGTTCCTGTTTTGTATTATAATTTGTAGTTGTCTGGTAGGCGAAGAGCGCTTCTTGGTTGTTTCATCTGTTACTATTATATCGAAATTCATCTGATAATATCGGACGATACCAACGACGATTATCACTCTCTTTGCAACGTTGCCGTCTTGTACTATACTCCTTTGAGTACCTGCGCAATCCCAATCTCTTCACCTTCCAAACAACACCGCACCGGCCGAGCTGCATCTCACGACATTAACCATCGAAACTGCAGCACGGGCTTATACATACATACCTACATATCTTTCTACAAGCGGTAGGTCTCGGAAGAAAGAGATCGACATAAAAGACCTACAACAGGCTGGCCTGCGAGATCGGTAACGGTCAGATCATACCCGAAAGCACAGTCGATTCGGCCTTACGCTCGTTCTTTTATACGTAGTACACGAACACGTTCTTTTGATCCACCAGGGCTTCACGCCTCGAAGTCTAGGAGAGTACCTAGTATCTATAGGGCAAGATATCTACCTAGGTACTCGAGCACGTTCACACGTTTTTGCTATTATACCCAACCACGACGGTCACATTAGATAAAGGTACGTCTCTACAACCATGTCTACTATGTAAAGAATGATTGCCCTGCGAGATGCTACGATCTCGAAAGACTATGTACCCGTTTACGAAACCCTGACATATATAATCCTCTCTTATACGTGGTAAATTCTTTTATCCGTCGAATGAGTGTTCGAACGGGGTTGAGAATGGCTAAATTTTCGGGAGCTCTGGTTTCGTACTGTAGGCCGGTACCATGAATTACCATGAATAACATGTGGCCAATGGCCAAAATCTGCAGTGTAACAAGGATTCATCCTCAGTGGGGAGACCTTGGCTGCAGGGGATGTCGAGGCCCTGAATGCTGGTCAGTTTCGGCGGGCCTTTTTAGCTGGCTGGGAAGTTTGAGATGTTGATCATCGGGGACTAGTCGAACGAGAACCGCATCCTACTTGAAGTCAAGACCATCCAATGGCGTAGGAGTAGTCGTCACGATGTTGTGCGCGAGATGCTCCTCTTCGCTCCCCTACGCTCACATTGCTTAGATTATTCATAGATCGCATCTTACTTATATCCATTCCTTAGGTTTCAATATGTGTCTACAACGTATTACATGCTGATCCGAATCTCTTTAGTCCAAATAAAGATTTCTGACGGTGCTGACTTCATCGACCTTCACCAAAACACCAAGGCAGTCCACTTTCCCTGACCGAATCGTCATATTTGATTTAGAGAGTTTCGGGAAACGAAAATCAGAAAATAGAAGAACGAAAAATCTACGGCAGACGGGACGGAAACTTATCACCAAACATCGTGGTTGTCTAACGAAAAAAAGCCTCTTAATATTACGGCTAACGGATAACGGATATAAGCGTTGCGGAAGAAGCGAATAAAAAGAAAAGAAATCCAAGACGACGGCAACCTGATTCTCCGGCAACCTGCCCGAAATTCTCGATATCACATTCTCCTACACCCATTCCACCTCCGCACACGAAGGGTTCCCGGCCTAACAGAACGTCTCCCGAACTGTACCTGCATAGTGAGTATTCTACAGCCAATTGATCAATCTCGACACACCCCCCTTTGGGTCCAATTGCCGGTCCTAACAAAGTAGTGGATTTTAGATCAAGGCATTGCTTTTGGATCTCGACTTCACCCTTTCGATATTAGATGCAGCGCTCGGCGTGCCTTTACCTTCTCGCCTAAGTTGTGCATCGTTGGCTTCGACGGGACGTCAAATCTTTTTTTTCTATTTCATAGTACATACCTTGTACTGCTTTCGGTAACCCTGTCTTCCTCGGTGGAGTGGATCTTTCATAAATCTACGAGCAAGTTTGGCTCATCTTTTTTTTTAATGAGTCTTATTCTCGAGACTCAGAAACACAACGATTTATGATCGTATAAGAGCCGTCACCGTTGAAGGCCCGATTTATGACGAATTGTTTGATTTAGCCATCAAACAGTGGCATAAAACAACAAAAATACCCTACTGCTGCTTTACAGAACTGAGAATAGAGACTCGGAAATTCGCTTGAGGCACAGTAAAGGGTGACTTTTTCCCGACCAACGGTCCCTTACCCCCTGTCTATATCCCCCCTGTTGCTCCCAATACCACCCCCCAACACGGACTTGCATGATAATTCAAAGTACATATTACCAAGACTATCCACTACCCCCATCGCGTCAGTGTCATATATCCTTCAAGCCATCTCCCTGACGGAACACTGTTGGTCTGCCACACCGCCCCCACAGTTTTATCTTCTTCCTGTGGCCATCTGCGCTGTCGCAGAGCTCTCACGATAGTTGAGATTAATAAACTAATGACCCGGGAATTTCGATCCCGGGTTGAGTTTATTCGATTATTCGGGTTTCGGGAATAAATTGATGTGTCTCTTACGTTAGGGTCGTACAAGATGTTTTCGACAATGCCAGTTTACTCCTTTAATAAGGAATCTCAGCAGACGGCTGCGAGGTCTCCCCCTGAGACTAGGCGTCCTTCGACTGCATGCTCTCCGACCGCACCGATTTTTCAACTTCAGAACGGACTCGGCGAGTTTCTTGAACCAGCGATTGACGGACCGCCGTCGCCGGAGCACCTCCGGGCGCTCAATAATGAGATGAAGCGTAATTCGAATACCGATAGACATCTAAGTGAAGGAACCTCATCGGGCGCGTCTTCACGTCTCTCAGCAACATCAGATCGACGATCATGGAATCAGAGCATGGAAAGTCTTAGTTTATCGAGGAACCCATCTCAACGGTCCGCCTCGAGTGGTGTACCAACACGTGAGCGAACGGACAGTGTGCAATTCTTCAGCAAAGGAATGTTCTCCCGGAGTAGAGGGAGACTACGGAGGGAAAGTAGTGATCAGAGCAGCTCGAATAGCTCATTAGACGCGTCCGAGATGCCGATCGACGCCTTGCCTAAGGATCAACCATTCATCTCATCAGTGTTCGCGCGACGGAGGGCATTGAGGGGAGAGACGAGCGCGCCGGCACCCCAAAAGAAGCTACAGATATCGGGACCTTACAACTTCCAGCACCTTACCCACACGAAAAAGGATAGTGTTCCCCAGATCGACCGAACTAACCACTTGGAACTTGTATCGGAATTCTCTGGCATGCGTCCACGACGACCTACTAACGCGTCATTGAGTGGTGCCCAGCAAGCCGAGTCGCAATTTACGGCTTTCCCCTCTGAGACCTTCTATCATCAGGAAGACCCATCGGCGGGTCTATACGTCGATGGGGCACAATCACGAGACAAAGCGTTGCCTCCATCACCACCACCTCCACCTCCATCAACGCGGTACGCTAAGCGATCACAATCTCAGGATAAGATCCGCTATGCGCCTCCACGCCCGCCCCGGTCTCCTCCATTCGATAGTGGTGTTACATCGCCGATACCGCCGCCGCCGAGAACCTCTAGTCGGGTATCGGTTCGTCATGGTAGGTATGACTCTTTGACTATGGCTAGAATAGCGGCCACAACGCTTGCGGAGCGCCCCGCAACAACTACTGGCTTTCGCAAGCCGGAACCGTTTGCACCTACCTCTCCTAAGGAAGTCTCCCCCAAGGGATATTCACCTAAAGGCTTGCGGCCTCCCCCTCCTCCGCGTGCTACTCCAATGGTAGAATCTGTCGAAGAAGAAACAGAATCAGAAATGTTTCCTCGCGCCATTAGCACCCCCGATGATGCTGCTTGGCCTTTGGCTAATAGCATAAGCTCTTTACCTGACGTCCCAGAAGAGGAAGAGCATCATGCGCTGTCTCGACCATCGCGCATGAGCGTTGCGAGTAACCACTCTTCCCTTAGGGGTAGTATATCGGTTCCTCTACTTCGTCAACTGTCCATGACACAATCGCATCAACGACCACCTAGCAATGCTTCCGATACTTTAGGCTTGTTTAATGCTCAGCGCTTAATGCGCACAGGCACTGGTGATGAGTATTTCGCAGATGATATGGATAGGGATAACTGGGAGGACGATATCGACTATTGCTACGAGCATGAAGCTGAAGCGGACTGTGACTATGCCTGGGAAAGGCCGTCGTGCGACATTGCTCGAGGAGTCGAGGCCGAGACTGTCATCACTTTTACTGGCCCCTTCGGCGGTAGCCTGGCATGTGAGCTACTGTCTCCTGGGAACTCTGATGTCCCTGCGCTAAGTCCGGCAAGCCAAACCTCCAACACGGAGAGGCACGAAGTTATCACACCAACCAACCTTCCTGTAACCTCCAACTTCTCTCTTCCGCGACGGGAAAGCTCAGCACAGCTTCTTCGCGTGCACAAGCGAACACAATCCCCGGAAACCAACTTCAAGGAGTCTCAGGGCTTCAGCCTGTCGCCTTCTCTCTTGATACCGAACGACTACCACCAGCAAATGCTTCGATACGAGAGGGAAGAGCTACAAGACAGCGAAGACGAAGACTTCCTCATCCAAGGAAATACCTTCGATGACCAGCCTATTATCACATTTGGCAAGGCGAACAACATCCGTTCTAGCGCCTCGACAACCAATTCTACCCTTTCAGAGCACTCCATGACTTCCAGCCGCCACAAGTCGACAAACTCAACTTCCACAGCCTACACCCGCTGGACTGGCAGCAGCACATCCAGCTGGGCGGCGCGCGACCCATCCCAGCCTATTATACAGAAGGCGATAAACGATAACGTGTTACCCGTTATCACATCGCCTACGGCCGTAGTAGCACCTACGTCATTCGAGGAGATGTCTCCGAAGCAAGAAAAGCCGGCCGAGAAGCACGGGAGAACGCAATCCCACGCCGGCCTACTCATGAGGAGCAACTACGATGCGGCACCGCCAGTCGACCAGAAGCAGCCGGCGAAAGAGTCCAAGGAGCCCATCAGGACGCGTAGGCGGGCCCGGACTACGAGCCGAAGCCACGCGTCTCCCCAATTCGCCCTCTTCCCAGCCGTCACCTCCCACGGCAACCGCATCTAAATGAGCGGCTACCTACCTACCTCGTACCTACTATTATGATGCTATACTATACTTGTTACTGTTATTATATATTGCTACTACTATTGTTATACATATGTACACTCGCCTAGGTATATATATGTAACCATTATACATATCGTAAAAACTCAACCACATTCGCTACCAACCAACGTACTACTACTACTACTGTTTCCATCACCACTTGCGTACCTAGGTATCTTCTTGCTAAGGTACCATCCACCACCACCTACTCTCCATTTGTCGGACAAAATCAAAAGTTTCTCTGGTTTCGGACACTTATAGACTATCATCATCATCACGGCCTACGAGCCGCGGCGTTTTTTTGACCTCCTGCGTTTGTTTGGTATAGACATGGGCCTGTTTTGTTTATTTGTTTGTCGGCTTGTACCTTCGAATCTGTCGTTTCCGCAGACTCTTCTGTTTTTTTTTTTGCCTCTCTTTTTTTGCTTACGAACACCCTTACCTACCTACCTACCTAGGTACTATCTAGTGCCTTGGGTACCTACCTACACACTCATAGAGCCGGCGACGGGCAACTGGTACTCGCCTTTATTTTATTTGTCACTTCCACTGCCTTCTCGAGCTTATAGACAGAAAAAATTAGGGAAGGGGCTTGAACGGGCGAAAAAGTTCGGTGCGCGGAGTCTCTGTCACGTTTACTCTTTTTGCGGAATTTCTTTTTTTTTTTGTCTCAGTCGTTTGCTTGTGTTGTTTTTATGTTATAGGGTATGATAGTGGGAAGGGAATAGCTGGATCGTATATAGGGAGGTACGCGCGTGCGCCGCCGCCGTCGTAGAGGACGACGACGACGCCGAGATCGAGGCGTGTGCGTATATTCTGTTTGTAGGCATGCATTTGGATATGCTACGGTGTATATGGGGTGTACCAAAACACGCCGTTCTGCGGAAGGCGGAACAGACAGACAGAGACAGACAGATAGACAGACATAAGTTGGATGGGTTGTGTCGATATTCGGTGGAACGAATGCACTTACCTTCTACTTCGGTATTTATATACTAGGTATTAAGAGTGGTATTGCGAGAGGTTATGTACGTGACCTTCCTGAGCTAGAAGGGGGCCTCGTGTGTATATTTGGGGGCTGGGGATGCGAATGGAGGCGTGGAGGTTACATACTTCGTCGGGCGGTCTCAGATCAACAACCGAATTAAGAACTGTGTTTCCTGATATCGTTTGACTATATTGTTCCTTATGTGCTGTGAAGGGACGTGTTTGTGATCATTAATGTTAGTTGTCTTAATGCTCAACTAGGTATTGCATGCCCTTATGAAAATAGGCTAAGCAGTGGCGTTCCGCCTGCAGGTTGGCGTTTTACAAGGGCAGTTTAGTGTCTTCGACAACGCGTTGTGACACTGAGCTGCAATAAGCTACCTATATTATAGGGCTTGGTGAGAGGAACACTTGGAGTAGTCAAATAGCCGGTATCGAATACGGAGATGTTGTCTTAATATACACGCTGATATAGATTCACCGAAAAGGAACGACTGCCCTTAGACGAACGGAAGGGATATCTCAATTAGCGTATTCAATAAAAGATCTATGTGGATTTCGAAAGCCAGTGAGCGAGTCCTATACGACTGGGTATGATGAACATGATGAACAGAGCCGCACACCTGGCAGCGGCAGCAGTACCGACGGGCAAAACGCGCAAATACCGGAGAACTCCTTATCCAATGCGATTCCCCTTTCACCCCACACAAAAGAGATTTTGCGCTTCGGCGTGTTTGGACTGCCCCATTATCAACATCCATGGATAGTTCCGCAAAACCGACCCTCTCCTATTTTAATTATTAGTCAACTAGTCCTGCCGTGAAGTATCGCTGTATCCACCCTCTTCGTCTGGACCTGGCTCCGGATCCGAATCTCTTCTCCGCTTCTTTCGTCCGAAAAACTCTCCCAGCGCGCTACTTAAGCTGCGTGCTCGTCCTCGGAGTGTCTTGTTATCCATCGGTAAGGGATCATCCTGGTAGGGAGGTTCATCATCATCCCGGTAGTTTTCGAAAAGAGGTTCCGCTACTGAGTTGATGTTGTCCTCGCTTTGTGGGACAAATAAGCTCGATCTGATACTAGGTCTCGCTCGCCTAATAGATCTCCTTCGGCCGCTTGGACTTTCTTCACCGCGCAGGAGAGCATCTGCTACTACAGCACTGACCGTCGACGATAATGGTGACGGGGAAATGAAAGCATTGGAAAAGTGATGACTATGTGGTCTGGAAGGATGAGCTCGTGGAGTAGAGGGTCGATCTGGAGAAGGAGGTGGGACGTCGGGGTTTGGGAGACTTGTGTTGGACTGTAAAGGCTCCGATACAGCAACAGAGGTTACCGAGTATATCGTAGGGACGCTATCCGCCGACGACCTTAATGGTAGCCCCGGGTGAGAGGAATGATCCTCCGGGGAATACTTCCATGGGTTATCAAGAAGCGGTGATGATTCCACTGGTGTCCTGGAAGCTGGCGTATCGGCTTTGCGAGTTGAGGGGGCTCTGCTTTGTGGGTGCGCTAAAGGTTTAGCACTCGTATGTATAAAATTGAGTCGCGAGGCGTATGATGAACGCCTTGACGATCGAGGCCGAGGTGGAGTTGGAGGATGCTGTTCATGCTCGGACGGCTCGACGTGGTCAGTATAACGAATGCCCCTTTCTTGATCGAGAAGACCGATGGTCTCTTCTACGTTTTCATCATCTGATAACTGATCTTCGTCATCATGTCGCGGCCGGCCGCTAGTAATAAGGAAGACACCGAAAAAAGTAAGCAGGCAACCGCCGATAAATTTGGCTGCCTGCTGCAATGTTGTCCGCTCAAAATCTCGATATAGGATGGCACTTCCAATAATGACTGACAAGGTAAATAGTACAAACTGAATAGGTATAACTTGAGTCGAATCGAATCGTTGTAGGGCCTTGTTCACGTATCGAACCTGCATAACAGCAGTCGCAAGTAGAATGAATATCATCCCGTACGTCACCGGTGTAGTGAATGCCTTAAAGAGTGTTGATGAAAGCATCGAAGAGACGCCCTTGGTCGCTAGAGCAGTATAACCCCCTTGATAATGTGTTAGTGTAAAGCTCGCCATGATAATAAAAACGTAGTGTCACCTACCGAATAGTCCAACGAGGCCAAGATCAATTAAGATTGTCCGGTTGCCATATCTGGGGCTCGCCCACATTAGGACGACGATGAAAAAGAAGGTAACACCCATATAAATCTCGAATTCCATCGATGTTATATGATCCCACACATTATGAGGATCGAGTTTTGTCTCTTCTGTCTTAGCACTTAATACAACCGTGACAGCGCCGCCCACAGCGATGACGACACCCCAGAAGTCGCGCGTCCGGAATTTCTCGCCAAAGAACATAGGCGCAATGACACAGTTCGAAATCAGAGCCACGACACCTAGCGGAGATACGATCGAGGCGGGCGCGAAACCGTAAGCTAAGAAGTTGCCCATCTCCCCAACAGTCATTAGAACCTGACCTATCCACCAGGACGTGGACTTCAAATAGGACGAGTTCACCTTGGACTCGTCGCATGTTCGTTCCGTTAGGTTGGAATCTACTGATTGAATCGACTGAGCCAGTGGGTGCGTGGCCACCTGATCATCTGCTTCGTCGCCATTGTCGTGTGCGATACCATCGGGTATGTCGGTCGTTCCGAAGCCATTACGATGACCATCCCGGGCTTTCCTTAACGCTTCCCTCGCTCGTTCCCGTGCCTCGACCCGCCGTCGATGTAGTTTGATATGTGAATATCTCTGAACGTTGAGTGCCAGGGCAATTAGGACGTTGCCCGATATTGCGGTTATGATGCCAATGAGCGAACTCCAGTTTCCCAGGTCCGCGCCATCGTTAGGGTCGCTACCTGTCTCGTTCTTTACGACCCAACTCATATTGATATTGGTTCTACCGGTCGGTTCGATCGACATCCGCGCGTGGGCGGGCCGCAGAGGGCGAATGTATGGTAGCAATACTGTAATAAGTTGAATAAGTTGTATTGGGCTGGCAAAGGGATATCGAAATGGTTGATCGGCCGGCTATTTGATTGCGCCAATTATGGCCAGTTCGTTGTTCAGAGCTGATCGCGAATGAATTCATCGGACTTCGCTCGAAGCGGGATCATTAGTAAGACATTAGATAGAAGTAGAAATAGAAATGGTAGAAATGTATATAGGTAAGTAATAGGTGAGAGTCGTGAGGAGCAACTTGCTGATCGGCGCAAATGTGAGGTGGAGTGCAGGAACCCCGGCTCAAGTGCTCGGTGCTGTCAGCGTTTGATAGAACGAGTAAGATATTTTCGCTGAATGCGGGTGATTTCGAATACAGTATCGGTTGAATATTCTAGAGGAAAGTCATGCAACTAAAGTAATGGACATTTCAAAATGGTCAAAGATTTGCAACAGAAACACGAACTAGGAAATTATATCTGTATCTTTAAGTATCTTAGGTATCTAATGTAGCCTAGGTTGATTATGAAAGCGACGGGACTCGGGACCTTAATAGTGAATACATACCGTCCATAATATGTATTACCTAATATTAGGTAGCTACCAAACTTAGATAGATTGCGAATACCTAACGTATGGAAACTCCTACCAAGATACAAATTCAATTCGAAGCTTCCGCTGATTCCGTGACTCCGTGATTCCGTCATTATACAGTTGGCTGGCTAGGTAGTTACATAAAAGTTCCACTTCCGTTAGTGCAACGTTTAGGTGCAATTTGCAAGTACTGATACTGGTTGCATAGACATTCACCCGTATCCCCGAAGGGGATACTGCGCTTTGACTAGCAAAATGGGCAAGAATTGCAATTTAGCCCGAGGTACTTCCGACGTAGTAGGGTTTCCATATAAATCTTATGTACTCTCTTTTAAATACGTACTTTATATAATTACATATATTACTAGCCTTATTTTGATAAGCCTAAAGATGCAACTAGAGATTAAGATTTTATGCAAATATAACCTATCGGGTAATATTCGGATCGTCTTGCAAGTCTTGCCCATTTTGCTAGTCAAAGCGCAGTATCCCCTTCGGGGATACGGGTGAATGTCTATGCAACCAGTATCAGTACATACATTTATTTGCCCATCTGAACCTACCGAAGTCAGCCTTGTCTTTCTTCCAACACATTTCAATCTACCACTTTACTTCCCAACATCGTAACGCATTTTTCGCCAACGATGGGCGACGAGGAGGAACCTCAGGTCGAAGGGCTTAGTCTTGCGGAAGATGACCCCATGCGCGCATTCTTACCTGCTTCCTTTGGGAAAAAAAGCAAAGAGGCTGACATCGCCGCACAAATCGACCGGAGTAAGAGAACAGCCAACGAGCCAACAATAGCCAAGTCTAAGTCTGGGGATTCGGACTCAAATGACTCGAGCGATAGCGACAATGATTCAGATGACTCGGATGACGAAGACGAATACCCAACATCTCACGAGATGGTTATTAAAACCCACGATCGTGCTGTTACTTCGTTGTCGCTAGACCCAGCGGGCGGTCGGTTAATATCGGGGTCTATCGACTGCACTGTCAAGCTCCACGATTTCTCGTCCCTTACCCCGACAACGATACGGGCTTTTAAGAGCGTTGATCCCTACGAAACAAAGTCATCATCAGCGAATTCCGAATCGCATCCGGTCCATCATGTCGAGTTCAATCCTCTCGCTGGTGGTATTTTCCTTTGCATATCAGCGCACCCCCAGGCGAAGATTATGTCCAGAGATGGAGATTTAATTACCCAATTTGTCAAGGGTGACATGTATCTTCGAGATATGCACAATACGAAGGGCCATGTTTCTGAGGTTACAACAGGTACTTGGCATCCCACAGACAAGAATCAGTGTGTTACCGCCGGAACAGATAGTACTTTGCGCATATGGGATGTCAACAACAAACGCAGCCAAAAAGAAGTGTTGGTGTTCAAATCGAAAGCTGCTGGCGCTGCAGGCAGAACGCGGATGACTGCTGTCGCCTGGGGTACCCCAGTTCAAGGAGGCAATAACGTTCTGATTTCCGCAGCGCTGGATGGTACTCTCGTGATGTGGAGCGGAAATGGCTCGTTCACACGGCCGGCTGGAGAGATAAGAGAAGCTCATAAACCGAATACCTGGACTGGAGGTATCGATATTAGCTCTGACGGGCGAATGGTTGTAACGAGAGGGGGCGACAACATGATCAAATTATGGGATATTCGAAAATTTAAGGAGCCACTCGTTTCGGTCGAACATCAATCCACATCGGATCACTACCCAACGACCAATATTAAATATGCGCCTAATTCTACAAGTATCATAACCGGATCGGCAACTGGCCATCTTCAAATATTGAATCCAGGAAACCTACGTCCGGAATACACTACGCTAGTCACACCCGGATCGCCTGTGATTACTGTAGATTGGCACCCGAAGATCAATCAGATTGTCACTGGGTCTGCAAACGCGGAAACGCACATCCTGTATAACCCTACGATGTCGACAAGGGGTGCGGTGGACGTTATGTCGCGCGCCCCGAAGAGGCGACACATCGATGACAATCCAGAATTGACCACCGACCAATCCCTTGGACTTTCAGGGGAATCAATTTTCACACCAGGCTCTTTAGCTAATAGCAGAAAAGCGGGTGTTACGGCATCTGGAAAGTCGAAAGACCCCAGGAGGCCACATGTTCCCCAACAAACGCCATTTTTGCGAAGCCAGCCTGATGAGAAACATATTAGTGAGAATATTCCATTAAGTCGAATGTTGCATGAGGATCCTAGAGAAGCGCTCCTCAAGTACGCGGATCTGGCGAAGAAAGACCCCGTGTTTACAAAGGCATGGAAGGACACGCAGCCGGTGACACAATATGCCGACGTGAGTGACGAAGAGGAGGATGATGGCCCGGATAAGAAGAAAGTCAAGAGATGAGAGAGGTTACCAGGCTATATATGCAGGTACCTGAAATGCCGGTGTGCCAAGGCTCTTTTGAGAGGCTAGTTCTTTAAGGATGACTTACCTGACTTACCGTTAAAGTTGTTTGCCCGAAAACTACCTAGGCCGTTAGGTACCAAAAGGAGCCTCCGATGACCTCAATAGGTCACTATCTACCCATGAATGTTTTACTAAGCTTATCAGGTACGGAACTAGGTACGGTACCTAAGTAGGATCTTAGTGCCCCATTCACCTGGGACCTCTACGAAAGGTAGGCCCATTGATCGACGTGCTCCAGCTTCACCAATTGGCAAAAAGATAAAGATGCCTTTTAGGAAATACATACATTGTCAAGTACATACCTATGTTACGGTTACGGAGCATCCATGATACTACATATGTAGGTAGTATATATTCTGTACGGACAACCAACTTGAGAGCCGGCGCCAAGTAGAAGAAATTGCTTTAATGGGTATGAACATTGGAAATTGATTAAGCAGATGGAACCAGTGAATCTTAACAAGATCTCGCTTGTTTTAAATGCCATGCTATGGACGGTTTCAATAGCTACATTAATCAATGTCCGCATTGCTTTGTATAGTACTTAGGTACATCAATGAGTCTCTGAGACCCCACTTAAGTCGTGATGGGGACATTTGGACAATCTGCGAAATGTGAATGGCTGATTGTAGGTTTACGTAAGTGGAAGTTGCAAGGGTTTTGTCGGGATATAATTAAACCGATTGGATAAAAAGGTAAAAAGATGGGGCAGTGCTGATTAGCGCATTTTCCCAACTCAGGTGACAGGCAAAACGGAGATGGTCTTGTTGTGCGGTTTGTGCGCCTTTCACATCAAACCATCTCTTTCCACGCCATCAATCGCGCATCAAAAAAAGCGAGCCGCATCACCCATCCCCGTCTAAATTCATCGACAACTATCCGGAGTGACCTCCAACTTTTATTTTACGCGATTTTCTCGCGGAAAAGAGCCCCTCTTTACCGACTTTTTACGCGCTCTCAGCCAACCACCTGCCATTTTTTCACCCTGTTGCTTTCTGCCATTCCCGACTCACACACGTTTCCCCGTTTTCCCCCCCGCGACCGCGAAAGGCGAAGTCGAAAAAAGGCTGAGTTAGCTTTACACATCCTACTAAATCCCCACCGCGATTTCTCGACACATTCCCGGCAGACGACACCGCGCACCGCGACCGGAAAACGGATTCGTCGCGCATTACCAACGACTACCGTCATCCCCAACCAAATCTTCCATTCCGAATAATTGATCCCCGGCGCAACAACCATCAACTTTTGGTGTCTGCCCATAGTTTGCGACGTGTTTTTGTCAACCAACACACATCGCCTACTATTCCATTTCATCACCAACCGGGTTTTTCGCCTAGTCGCTCTTTATAATACCATTGTAATATTCGATAACCTAACCCAAAACATAGGGTCTGCGTGATACCTCGCTGTCGATCCGTAATACTCAGATATGAACGCCTCATAAAGTGGTTGGATGAATAAGCACTTGGTCGTGACTCTTGAAAAGAAGTTGCGTTAGATATTAATCAACATGGCATCCGTCCAGGCTCCCCCAGCCGTCCACCATGCTGGCTCCTCTGCTATGACTGGGCAGATGACTCAGCAACAGGTGCAGGAAGTGTATATGGTTCGTAGCCCCCTTTCGATGACTCGATGTATCTCGTATTATGTCAAGTCTGGTCGCTTGTTGCAGGGATGCTAACAGTATCATAGAAATTCAGACAGATGAAGGAGCAAGGCGTTCCCCAGACTGACCCTGAGTTCATGAAAATGAGTCAATTCCTGATGACTGTACAACAGCAGCAACAGATGCGCAAGCAGCAGCAGAATTATATGCAGATGCAGGCTGCTCAGATGTCGCATAATGCCCCTAATGGCAATGTTAATGGCACGCCAACAGGCCCGCGACCCCAGCAACCTAACTTACACACTACTCAGCCTCCGTCATCAGCTGCTTTGAATGCCTCTGCCTTATCCTCGAGCACTGGGCCAACTGTCCAACCAATCGCATCATCTCCTTCGACGGCATCTCCTATGGCAGCACAATTCTCGCAACAACAGCTTGGTCTCCTTAGGCAACAGATCCAAGCTTTTAAGTTGCTCAGCAAAAATGCTGGCGTCCCATACCAGATGCAGCAGGCACTAAACGCGCAACGTCAACGTAGACAGGCCGTTGCCGAGCAATCCTCTCACCCCCCTACTCACTCCACTTCGACCCGAGCAACACCAGCTCCCGAGGTAACGAAAGCTGACTCTGCTCCTCCTGAGGAAAACACCGAACCCAAAGATTCTGGGTTCAAGTCAAAAACTTTTAAGACACTTAAGTCTCCCTACGAAGGTGGTCTTGTCCGTAAGGAAATTAGCTATCACGATCATACCCAACGGAAACAACGTCTTGTCATCCCTAGTATATTCCCTACGGGTGTCGACTTTGAGCAGTTGAGACATGAACGCGAGATCATCATCTTCAATCGCATGAAGGCTAGATATGCTGAACTAAAATCATTGCCTGGAAACATCTCCCATTGGGATACTACTAGGGCATCGCTTGACCCCGATGATACATTGAAGCGAAAAGCCGTAATCGAGCTGAAGTCTCTTGGCTTATATGCTAAGCAGCGTGCCTTACGTGAGAGGATTGGACGTGCGATGATGCACTACGATAATCTGGCGATGACCACTAACCGTAGCCAATACCGCCGAACGAAGAAGCAGAGCGTACGTGAAGCTCGCATCACCGAGAAGCTTGAGAAACAGCAACGAGACGCTCGAGAGACACGTGAGAAGAAGAAGCATATCGATTTCCTCCAAGCTGTACAACACCACAAATCCGAGATTTTCAATTCCGCGCATTTGGCTAAGAATAAAATGTCGCGAATTGGACGTGCCATGCATTTGCATCACTTCAACATCGAGAAGGAAGAGCAGAAGCGGATTGAGCGCACTGCCAAGCAACGTCTTCAAGCTCTTAAAGCTAACGATGAAGAAGCCTACCTCAAACTGCTCGACCAGGCTAAGGATACCCGTATCACCCATCTTCTTAAACAGACTGATGGATTTCTGCACCAGCTTGCATCCTCCGTCAAGGCTCAGCAACGCCAAGCTGCGCAACGCTATGGCGAGGAGACTGGAGAATATGTGCCAGAAGAGGAAAGCGAAGTCGAAGAGGAAGACGAAGAAGCCAACAAGAAAATTGATTACTATGCTGTGGCCCATCGTATCAAAGAAGACGTCACGGAGCAGGCCAACATACTCGTCGGCGGTACCCTCAAAGAATATCAGATCAAAGGTTTGCAGTGGATGTTGTCTCTTTACAACAACAACCTCAACGGTATTCTTGCCGACGAAATGGGTCTCGGAAAGACTATCCAGACCATTAGTTTGATCACATACCTCATCGAGCGCAAACTGCAGCAAGGACCATACCTTGTAATCGTCCCCCTAAGTACATTGACCAACTGGAACTTGGAATTCGAAAAATGGGCCCCGTCTGTTAGTCGTGTTGTCTACAAGGGGCCTCCAAATGCACGAAAACAACAGCAGGAGAAGATTCGGCAAGGAAAGTTCCAGGTATTATTAACGACCTACGAATACATCATCAAGGACCGCCCGGTTCTTAGCAAGATTAAGTGGTTCCACATGATTATCGACGAAGGACATCGTATGAAGAACACTAATTCAAAGTTGAGTGCTACTATCTCACAGTACTACAACACTCGATTCCGTCTCATTCTTACTGGAACTCCCCTCCAAAACAACCTGGGTGAATTATGGGCAATGCTCAACTTCGTCCTCCCGAATATCTTCAAGTCGGTGAAGACATTCGATGAATGGTTCAACACGCCCTTCGCAAACACCGGTGGACAGGATAAGATGGAACTGAATGAAGAAGAACAAATTCTCGTCATTCGTCGTCTTCATAAGGTCTTGCGACCATTCCTCTTACGTCGTCTCAAGAAAGATGTCGAGAAAGATCTACCGGACAAGACAGAAAAGGTTATCAAGTGCAAGTTCTCTGCGCTCCAGACGCGGCTATACAAACAGATGGTTACACATCAAAAGATTACAGTCAGCGATGGGAAGGGCGGTAAGACTGGAACTCGCGGTCTCAGCAACATGATTATGCAGCTTCGAAAACTTTGCAACCATCCTTTCGTCTTCGACGAGGTAGAGAACCAAATGAATCCTATGAACACGAGCAACGACCTTCTCTGGCGAACGGCTGGCAAGTTTGAGCTACTGGATCGAATTTTGCCAAAGTACAGAGCTACTGGACATCGTGTTTTGATGTTCTTTCAGATGACAGCGATTATGGACATCATGGAGGACTTCCTTCGGTTCCGTGGGATACAGTATCTGAGATTGGACGGTACTACAAAGTCCGAGGATCGATCTGATCTTCTGAAAACATTCAACGCTCCTGACTCACCATATTTTATGTTCTTGCTTTCCACACGTGCGGGTGGTCTAGGTCTAAACTTGCAGACAGCCGATACCGTCATTATCTACGATTCGGACTGGAATCCTCACCAGGATTTGCAAGCTCAGGATCGTGCCCATCGTATCGGCCAGAAGAACGAGGTGCGTATCTTGCGACTTATCAGCTCTAACTCCGTCGAAGAGAAAATTTTGGAACGCGCCAGATACAAGCTTGATATGGATGGCAAGGTTATTCAGGCCGGTCGATTCGATAACAAATCGTCCGAAACTGACCGTGATGCTATGCTTCGAACGCTACTGGAGTCTGCAGATATGGCTGATTCTGCTGAGCAAGATGAAATGGATGATGAGGAGCTGAATTTGATCCTCGCTCGAAGCGACGACGAGGTTGGCGTCTTCCAGAAACTTGATGAGGAACGTGCAAAAGACCTTACATATGGCAATGTTCCGGGCTCGAAACGTGTCCCGCGTCTTATGGCCGAAGATGAACTCCCCGAGATATATCTATCAGAAGGCAATCCAGTCGACGAAGAGCAAGAAGAGGTATTAGGTCGTGGTGCTCGTGAACGGACTAGGGTTAAATATGACGACGGCTTAACTGAGGAGCAATGGCTCATGGCTGTGGATGATGACGAAGACTCGCCAGAGGCAGCAGCAGCGCGGAAGCAGGCCCGAAAAGACAAACGAGAAACAAACAAGCTCAAGCGGCTAGCGGTACTTGGACCATCAGGTGCCAATTCTCCGGTTGCAAGTCGTGCAAGCACCGAAGAGATTGATACGCCACCTAAGAAGCGTGGTCGTAAGCCCGGCAGTAAGAACGAGAAACGCAAGGCCGAAGATGATGATGGCGAGCCGCCTGCCAAGAAGCGACGTGGGCCTCAGGGACGCCCTCGAGCAATATTTGGCAACGGTAACGACTCGCGTATCAGCTTCGAGGTGCGACAAGTTCTCCAGAGAAGTTTGCGCAATATTTACGATGGTTTGATGGGTCTCGAAGCCGACATTGCACCTGAAGATCAGGTTGACGATGACGACGACGATGAACCTACCAAACGTCTCATCATTGGACCATTCATCAAACTACCATCCAAACGAGATTACGGCGACTATTATGTTCTCATTCAGAATCCGATTTGCATGAATCAAATCATGGCCAAGATCAAGAAGGAAGAGTACAATAGTATCAACGACATGCGCCGAGACATTGTCTTGATGTGTAACAATTGCAGAACCTACAATGAAGACGGTAGTCTTCTTTATTCGGATGCAATTGATATGGAGGTATGTTCTAGACCGCCCTAATAAATTTTGATTGGTTATATACTAACTTTGATAGAAATTCTTCAATGCGAGAGCGCAACAAGAAATAAACGAGCACCCGGAACTGGGCGAGCTCGAAGACCCGTTCGGCAAGGATAGTTCGGTCCCGCCTACAAGCGCCGGAACTCCCCAATCCTCCGCAAACACTACGAGAATAAAGCTGGTGACCAACGGCGCTAGCCAAGGGGGTATGGGCGCAGGTGGCGCCCTAAGTGATGGTGAACAATAGTGATCCAGGATCGGTGGCTTACGCCAGGTGGGCGGGCCAATAGTTGACATTACGGTGATAATTACATTTCGGGCGGCTTTGCCAACGTGTTTTGTGAAACAAAGATTTGCTTAGACCGCATGGGTTCTCCCGAAACAGGGAGTCGGGGGGAGAGAAGTTTTTGGCGTTCTCAGGTTTAGGTCATCCGTCCTCTTTATTCATTTTTAAAAAACAGGCAACTATCTAGGGGGAGAAGAGAGAGACGAATGGCACGTGTACCACAATCAATCCCACCAACCTACCACTACTACACCTGGAGAGAAAGGCTAAAGCAATACCCTGGGCTTCTTCTCTGCCTCTGCTTACTTAACTACATTAACTACGCTCTTAGTACATGAATTTGCTCCTGTACGCTTTATTTTTTATGTGTGTGAGATTATGATCCCCCCCGGTTCCGAGTAGATGGTTTTTTGGTAGTGTAGTGTGGCTTGCAGACTTGTATGAATAAACCTGTTTCTGAATGATGCTCTCTAAACGAATTGTGGTGGCGTTTCTGCAGGTACCTTCTAGGGCGCTTTCCGATGGTGTATCTTGCGCTGTAATTGCCCTAGACACCCGTGGCTACATTTTCTAGGGCTGCTTCCGACGCTTCTTGGACGGATCGTTGGTTTGCTTCTATGTCCAGTTCATCCAAGAATTCTTGGAATATCACTGTTCCTATAATAGTAAGCTCATCTTTACAGAGATCGATCTCAGTATTTTTCTCTTTCGATTTGCTCGATAATCTTCTTGCAATTTGTCCACCAGCGATTCCAGAATTATGCTCTTAAAACAACAAAGTTTTCTCTTATTTACTTAAACATACATCATCGCTCCACAACCTTAGAAAATGATACGCGATCGTCGGCGTTTATACTATATAAACATTCATGGATCGTATTCCCGCTAGAGCCCTCAGTAAGAATAAGGGACTTAGCACTATTAAGCGCTAATATTATAGTGAGTTTTTTCAGCTAATCAGAATAACAGTTCAAAACAAAGTCTTCCAGGTTATAATTCCACTTACAATACAGTTAATTAAACGAAACTTAGGTAGCTTTAGTTAGAACTTTTGAAAAGAGCAGTCCAATTATATGAATTGTATTGATATCAATCGAGTATTGACAGCTTTCGTTGAGCCATTGTTGACCTGATGTTGAATAGTAAGCCCTGAACAGCACTAAATTATAGGGGGTTTAGTGATAAAATATAGTGCTTGTATAGCGAATGCGCCACTAATCACACCCTATTTTCTAAGGTTGGATTTTTTGATAGTTTGGCTATTCCGGGCATTTCGTACACCGTAGGGAGGCAGTCGTAAGCTAATACTAATCGTTTCTTACCTACTAGGCAGTATATTATTTAAGCTTGTGTTGTTAAGCAATTGCTTTACAGTATTTATGATTTGAGGTAGGTCGATTGTAACCGAGTAATAGAAATCTTCGTCTCATTGAGTCAAAGGTTGCTATTGTACAGGGCTCTAGGTTGCGCCCATCAACTGTAGACACCCCCTGCGATTACCGCTAAGTACCCCTATACACAAAGACTCCCGCCTACCGTGTAGCATAGGAGCGTTTCCTGCTATTCGTCATACCTCGTCCCTTGCTCCTGAGAATCAATTCCAACCCTCCACAACGACATACATTCAAGCCTTCTTTGAACTCCACCCATTCCAGAGACTGAGTTCAAAATAAATTTTAACCGAAAAAAATCAAGGCTTACTGTATTTCCGACTCGCTTCACGATCGTGCTCATGCAATTCCCACACATCGTTGACGCTTGGGGCGGACGGGTGCTTTCTAGCGCTGCGACCGGGAGGGGTGAAGAATATGGAAGGATCAATTATGGGGTGATCTGACCGTCTCACCAGAATAGATCTATACACCTCGTCGAGTCGGTTATGCCAGCAAGCTTCCCATTTGCGGTCAGATGATTTCGTGAGGTCGCCGAGATTTTGGAAGACGTCGGCTACTATCTCAACCCCGCCGCGGCCGTGGCTGTGTATGGTGATAGAGTTATCGGTCACGCATTGACAGCAGCCGGTGAGCGAATACGATTGAAGCTCGAGTTTGTCCAGATCCCAACCTTCGAGCCTCGAGGGCTCCGCGAGGAGTACTTTCCAATGCGCCATGGCGATAAGCTCCGCGATCATCCTATGAACACCCGTTTTGTCTAAACTATTCCACGAAAAGGAGCTCAAGGAGGGTTGGAATGCATACCGGAACTGGCCGCTGTGAGTGCAGGATTTGAATAACTCTTCCATGAGCCACGATTTTGAGGCGCTGAAGAAGGGCTTGACCTTCTCGGGCTGGAGCAATATTCGTTGAACCTTGTGAAAGTACAAGGAGCCGTCCACGACAGTTGCTTCGGTGTCTAGCTTGACATATCCGTGTATGAATTCCGGATTATAGCAAGATGACCAGAGCCTAGCAAGCTTCCAGTCGGTCGATATTGCGAGAGGAGGAATTGGCAACTTATTTCTTGGCTTATTGAGAGTGCCTTTTAGGATCTCGCGAGCCTCGTCGAAGGTGATGACATATTTCGGCCATAGAGGGCCAAAGGTCATGGCGCCCCTAGGACGTGAGATAAGTCGGTCACGAATTATGGCGGAGTTATGGTGAGCATTTCGGCTCTCTCCTGTGAGATTCTGATGAAGTTTTGCGCAACGCAAACAGACAAAACGATGCAGGTTATCATCTGCCAGCAGCTGCAAGAATTTATATCTCGGGTCAGAGGTCGACTCCGAACCAATGGGCTCACGTCTGCAATCGCGCAACCCCTTTTGGACGTAAGAGAGACAGAACTTCCCATGAGGTGTACTGCTGATTAGGCGACGGGTGGCTTTGCAAGTTAACGAGAACAAGATGACATAAGGGGGATCAAGGAAAGATAATATCTCAAAGACTAGTTCCGGCGGTAGGTCTAGAATCCGGCACGGACCGGGTAAGCCAGTAGGCTTTTGTCGAATCGCGAGTTTCTTCGAGGTCGACATATCTGCAGGGAAATTCAATCCATAGACGTTTCCTATGCTTATACGATGTATGATTCCCGTATTATTAGAGCCCCGTCCTTCCCGTATTTTCTTGAGAGTTGGATTCCCTTGAAAGGAGTAGGTACCGGTGCCTACTAGTGTAGGTAAATGGCTGGAGACGTTGAAGTTGTTAAAGGGAAGTGGAAACGTGGGTCCACCAAATTAAGTCGGTAGAGTAAAAGTTTGGTTTCCTTTAAAAAATGGCTCTTACCTACTGTGCGGCCCCTTTCTTGTTCATGATGAGCGTCTGCACCTGCACTTGGCAAAGATATGGAATGGAGGTGAATATGCAGGTACTTCGCGCCTGCCCGCCGTCTCGCCCTATTAGCGAAAATATAGTGGGATGGTACGGGGAGCATAGGCCACTTTGATCTACTTTGGTAATATCTGCTAGTTCCCGCTAAACCGATTTAGGTAATGAGGAAGTCGCATCTCCAAGTTCAAACGACAGCGACCGGCCACCTGTAGTTTCTATGTTTAGATAGCACTGGGAGCTTAAAGTAGCAGCTACGTCAACCTGATTTTTTTTTTAATATTCCGTGTCCTCCAGGGCTACAACAACAACTACCACCACTTTAAATCCATAAACACTTGACCCCTATGGACCATCCTGTTGTACGACGGGAGTCCTCACCACATCTGCAATGTGGCCCACACAGGATAAAAGGCGATGTATAATTACCATACTTTCGCCTGCGCTTCTAATAGCAAGCCGTGCATTTGCTCAACCTGACTCGAATCTTCCCATCACCCAAGATGTCGCAAAGCCCTCGTCGAGTATAGCGACAGCCGAGCCTACCTGCGAATCGAGAACAGTGAACTACATTACGCATACGTTGCCTCAGCAGTGTCTAACATCTGCGCCTTCGGCCTTCTCGACTCCAGGGTCCGTTAGCGCTACAGTTACGCCTTCTGCTACCGACCCGACTTCTACCCCTAGCAGCGATGCCGACCATGAAGAAGAGCTGGACGCCGACGGCAATGATCTGAGCACTGGCGCTTTCATGTCCTTCGAGGAATGGAAGGCCATGATGCTCGAGAAATCGGGCCAAGAAGCCCTAGAGCCCAGACATCGCAAGACCAAAGAGACGCATGGCGATTACCCAGCGGATGACTTTGACAGTCTAGGAGACGAAGGTGAAGTATCGCTCGACTTCGACGCCTATTCGGACAAGATCTCTGAGCTCGCATCGTCTACGAAACCGTCGCAAAAAGAGAAGGATAAGGAGAGGCAGGTCGAGAAAGTGAGCTATGACGAGGGGCTGGCCCAGAGTTATCGGAGTAAAGATGCGGGGACGACGTGTAAGGAGAGGTTTTCATACGCCTCATTCGACGCTGGTGCGACGATAAAGAAGGCAAACCCTGGTGCTAAGAACCCCAAGGCCATCCTAGTCGAGAACAAGGACTCGTACATGCTCCTAGAGTGCGCTATGAAGAACAAATTCGTCATTGTCGAACTGAGCGACGATATCCTAGTTGATACTGTTGTCATAGCTAACTTCGAGTTCTTTTCGAGTATGTTACGCCACTTTCGAGTCAGTGTGAGCGATCGCTATCCCGTCAAAGAGGAGAAATGGAAGGTATTAGGCACTTTCCAAGCCCGTAATTCCAGAAACATCCAACCGTTTCTAGTTTCGAACCCCCAAATCTGGGCTAAATATCTACGGCTCGAGGTCTTGACCCATTATGGTAATGAGTATTATTGCCCAGTCTCCTTATTACGAGTTCACGGCACGCGCATGCTTGACTCGTGGAAAGAAGCAGACCCTGCCGATCTTGAAGTTGAAGATGATGGTAGCAAGACAGTATCTGAAGCTACCGAGGAAACTGTCGAGGTGACCGAAGTTGAGCTCGAGGAAGTCGAAGTGGTCAAACCCTCCCATTCCGAGAACCAGGTGGTAAACTTAGAGCAGAGTGTTTTTATCCCTTATTGGGATAAGTCATATTTCTACTATAAATACCCCTTTGACTTGACGTGCACCGTTTCTGATGCGAAAGGGTTTGCATCCAATGCTAACGAGGAGCACGCTCGAAACACAACCGAGGCCGAACTCCAATCTACAGAGCCTACAGAAACCACATCTACAGTCAACTCAGGTACATCTTCTTCTGGAGCACCAACAACACAGTCTTCCAGCCAGGCAATCACCGATTCGGGGAGAACGACTTCTCCTAGAGACTCGAGTGAGACGTCAGGAAGCACGACTATTGAGAATTCTTCAGAGTCGGTATCTAGCACGACGTCCACCCCTGATGCAAAATCAGTCACCGCAACCCCACCAGCAACACCTACTACCATCACGCCCCCAAGCCTCGCCAAGACAGCCACCGCGCAGTCGTCGCCTAAGAGCCGGACTCCCGCCTCCACATCTCTTAAACCACCTTCCTCACGGTCTACTGTCGTGCCCAAAGGTCAGCCCTCCGGTACCCCCACGGCGCCACGCAATAAAACCGGAACAGTCACAACGTCATCACCCGCCTCTGCCCCCACGATCCAGGACTCGTTCTTCAAGGCGCTTAACAAGCGCATCCAAGCCCTCGAGTCCAACACCACTCTCTCGCTACAATACATTGAGTCGCAGTCGCGCTTCTTACAGGAAGCCCTCGCGCGCCTCGAGCGCCGGCAGGTTGCTAAGGTGGACCTCTTCCTCGACACTCTGAATAAAACCGTACTGGGCGAGCTGCGTGAAGTACGCACGCAGTACGACCAGATCTGGCAATCAACCGTAATCGCCCTCGAAACCCAACGCGAGCAATCCGAGCGCGAAATCGTCGCTCTCTCCTCCCGCCTCGGCGTCCTAGCCGACGAAGTCGTCTTCCAGAAACGCATGGCCATAGTCCAATCCGTCCTCCTCCTCGGCTGCCTCGTCCTTGTCATCTTCTCTCGCGGCGGCATCGCCTCCGTCGCCGCCGACGCATACTACCCCAGCGAGCGCTTCCTCGGCGCCGTCTCCCCCTCCAGACTCGTCGCCTCCCCTCTCTTCCCCTCCCCACCTCAACCCCGCCCACAGCCGCACCAACACCACACTCACCACCGCCCCAACCCCGACGTCCCCCTCCTCTCCGTCGAAGAAGCAAGCCCCGAGACCCGTCCCCGCCGCAGCTTAAGCCAAACCACCGAATCCTCCTCATCCTCCCTCCGCCACCGTCCTCGAAGAAACTCCCGCGCCACATCCACCGAATCAGTAAGCCGCCACCCTCAACCCTCAACCGAGTCCGCGCCCGCCTCTTCCGCGAGTCTCTTCCGCGCCGCCACCCCGTCGAGCATCGACATGGGCTACGACTCCGAGCCCGCCATGACACCTACCAGGGGCGACGAAAACCACGGTAGCAGGAACGGGGACGGGGAATACTACGCGACGAGCGCTGAGGATATGGCCGCTGGAAAGGGCGGCATGGGGCCCAGCTATTCAGAAGCGTTAGCCAGGAAGTCGGAGAGACAGCTGACGCCTTCCTCGGACGTCGATGGCGCGGAGTATATGCCTATGTCGAGCAGACCGCCCTTGACGCACAGCACTTCGGCGCGGAAACCCTTGCCCGCCCTACCGGAGGATCCCGATTAGAATATGTATACCTATGTATGTAGTTCATGTAAATCCCACTTGAAAGCTACGAATAATGAGACCATGAATAAAGGGCATGCGTATCAGTACTACCAGCATCTATGAGAGTCAGCCGTTTACTCCTTTTCATGCACACTCAAAATGTAACGAAGCTTAGTTATACGGAATCACTCGATATTAGCTAGTAAGACTATGAAAAGCTTCGCGAATTTCATGCTAATTTCCTCCGCCCAGTATTAACCCATTGAACAATTGCTCCTAGCCTAAAATCAAATCGCCGCCGCAAACTTGGATTTGAAAGGCGTATTTGTCCCGTAGATGCTGGTCGGTTAATCGACCACGCATCATGGTGATGTTAATTGCATGGGTAAAGAACCTCTCTATCTGTCAAAAATTGCATTCGAAGGATTCTCGCTCACGTATCGAACGTGAACGAGCTGTTGCGTTGCCTGTGTTAAAGACTCTTGATAGTCGCCTGGTCCCTTCTTGAACCATGCGCAAACCCCGAGGACGACTCAAGATCAGTAGGCATCATATCTTCGTCGCTGATAAGTTAAGAAGGTTCCATAGTCCATATCTTGACGAAGGATTAATCTGTTATTGGAAAGGGTTGTAGTTAGCTCAACTGATTAATCCTAGGTGATAAAGGGATGGATAGAAGGCATACCGTATGAGAGGAGAGATAAAGAGATGCTGATCATGACAGTTCCTAGTCATCATTGACGAAGAGACCCAGAACTACTATTATTGAAGTAGTAGCGTGGGATATCTCAGATGGCATAGGAGTTTGTGGTGTAGTGAATCGAAAATCGCCGATAAGGAGATTGTACAACATTCAACAAAGAGTTGAGATTCGGGCCATTTCGTAATAAAATGGCGTCCTTGGTGGTTAGTATTTTTCTTCTTTTTTTCTTTATTTCCTTCTGGTTCTGATCTGTTTTTTTTCTGGATTATCTTGCTAGAAATCATCGTGATCGTAAGTTCAAGGAACACTAGAATTTGGCCCCCGAGTATGGGCAAACTAGTAGTCCTCTTCAGAAAAGAGAAATGAAAACGCACGTAAAAGCCTTTTATAGAGTTAGCTCTCTTCGGATTGCTTCAATTCAAGATAAATAGGGACTTACTAAAAGGTATATCGAGATGAACTGACCGCTCGAATTCAGTGGTCATGAGAAATCATTGGTAAAAGGCAGAACTTGATAAATGTCGCGCAAGAGAAAGTTTTCTCGGGCGAGGGTATGATGGGTAATGGAAAAGTTTCCAGGGGCTCGAAAGCCTACTGAGGGTAATAACCCTGGTTGTATGCGGGCGGATTATACTCATACTCTTGAAGTCGTGGGTTTCCACGATCGAATTGAGAGCGGCGGCGTCGCTGCTCGTCACGGAAGTGTTGACCGGCGTTGGGTGTGAAGAGACCTAATAATTAGGTATACAATTAGCGACATCCACTTCCGAGTAGCAACTTGGTTATCACATACCAACATGCTCTGCATTCTCACAGCTTCGCTTCATCTTCGATTGGTTGTCTGGCTCCGGGAAAGGTTCTTCGTTGCCTGCCAGCTCGGGGTAGGGACCATTGATAGTGAAGAAAAGCTTTAGAATCAAATGTGTCAGTTACCTTCCAGATATCTCTTCAATAGATCAGCTTACCTTTGGGCGGTAGTGGGGAGCCTCCAGCATGACCGAACTGTTTCGGAATTTCTGAACGAGGCAGTCCTTGCCTTGGATTGCTGTATTTTAGATTAGTATTTAGATATACAGATTGCTATCTGCACCATTGACTTACTCGCATAGGAAATCTCGGCAATCTTATCACTTCTAAAGCAGTTCCACTTCTGGTTGCCTCTTGCTTGCACAAACTATGTTATTGTCAGCACAGTCTACCATCGTTAGCGTAATTAGCAGTCTTACGTCAATGACATCGAGTGGCTACGAGATTTATTAGTATCGCATCAACATAGCTGTACAACAATTTGGGAACTTACATCGACGAAGTTGATGAACGCATAGCCAACACTGTTATTACTTAGATTAATATTTGTCCTACCATACCCTCGAGGTCAGGGCATGACTTACTTGCAGTCGTTGGCGAAATCGATGCGCAGATACATGAAGTCGTACTTGCCACGGCTGGATTGATCGACGATATCCTTGAGCATCGCTTGATGTACCTTGTTAGGAATGTTGCGTAACATAATCTACATAGTAAGCTTTCGTTCAAATTAAGAAGCAAGTTGTATGTCACTTACCGTTGTACGAACGTCAGTGCCTTCTCGAATGCGATTGATATCTACGTGGTTGGCATGGTTAGCTGAATTGTAGTAAGGCGATCGTGAGATTCGCATCGCGTTCTGTCGGCGACCGTCCAGGCGACCGATATTCTGGAATTGTCGTGGGGTCATGAGATCTGTGGAGGCGAGTGAGTTGTGCTGAGACATAGCAGGGCTCACAAGGGAATAGTTGCTTGGCTGCAACACGCTCCCATATGTTCTCGGCGTTCCCTGATCCAACACGTACGAAGGACTCATAGACAGAGGTGAATACATCAGAGGCACCATCCCATAAGACTGTGGAACCGAGAAACTGTTCGCCGGAATAGTTGGTCGAGCGGGTGTAGTCAGTAAGGAATTGGCCGGAGTTGTCATGACAGACTGTGATCTTCCAATAGACATTCGGCGGAAGCCAGAGGTCAGATCTGACGACGTATTGAGAGAACTGGTTGAGCCGACAACTCCACTTTGCGTAGCGTTTGGCGTCACATCAGGTCGGTACAGCACTATGCAGATCTGAAATCCCTATTACGAAACTGTTAGTAGGTTAACATCCCAACCCAGCAGAATGTATGCTCACTTGGACGACAACGCCGTTGAGCTTCGCCACGGCACGCAGGGACATTTCATTATCGCAGTATTCGGCGATTCCGCTCATTGCGCTTCCCGTTACACCATCATGGGGCTTGAACGCATACAAGTCTCCCTCGGTGCGCAAAGCGGCCTTTAGAAACTCCTCGAGTTGCTGGACAGTGATGGGCTGCATGGAGTGTGAAAACACACTGAGGTACACCTGTCCTTCGTGAGCAGTTACGAGACCCGCACCCGGCTCTACAACCGATGAAAACTCTCGAGGGTTAACTGAACGGACATCCCAGTCACGGCCACCTAAGGAAATGTTCGAGAATACAGTGCATGCATCACGGATATTGGAAAATCGAGCGAACACCTGGCTGCCACACTCGAAGATCTCGTTCTTCCCCTGAAAGGGGGTACCCATCTGACGTAGTCCCTAAATATAGTTAGCTAAGACGTATCTCTTTTTACGTAAAAGTGTGTTCTTACAGATATGTAGTGGTTCACCTCACCTGCGGCTACATTACCGCCCATTCTAGCAGAGATGACCAAACATCGGGAGATTCCGGACTCTGTACTCAGCTTGTCATGGACGAAGTCAGAGGACGCAGGAACGCTAGCTGGTCGTGGCAATTGTCCAGAAATCTGGCTGTAGCCCTGGTTCAGATCCTCGGAGAAAGCATCTGCTCGCTTAGGCTCAGATGCTGAGCCGCGAGGAATGAACGCCGAAGGCAGAGGGGAGAATACAGAAGCAGTGGGAGACAACTTCTGGCTTCCCTTGAAGGAAGATTCTGCGGAAGATACGAACGGATCCTTGTCCGTGTGGCAAGTTCCAAGATTGAACATGCTTGGCTGCCCGAAAGACTGCAACGCGTTCATCCCGTACTTAATGGCTGGCGGTGCCGTCTCCAAGGAACCATGATTGAGGGTTCCCAGTACTCGTGTAGATCTAGCAGAGCCATCTTCGGGGGAAAATGCAGTGAGTCGAGTGTCAGGTGTACCCTTAAACGAATCTGCAGCTCCGCTCGAGGAATGAGGCGAGGCAGGGTTGTAATGACCCTCGCGGGTCTGCTGATGCATGCTCATCTTGTCGGAAGAATTGAATGCCATCATTAGATAGGTAATGTAGAACCGGTATTAGGTAACCTTGGATGGCCTCTTTAAATGATATTAGTGAATATACGTATGGTGTCGGATGAGAAAGAAGGGGGGCTCTGAGTCGCTATAACCCTTCTTTCTCACATTATTTCAGGTTACTAGGTACTTACTTGACTAGGGTAATAATTGATCTGTGAAATACGCAGAAGTATGCTTAGATAGAACAACCGATGGTGGGATCTAAAACCCAACCCTTGAACCTAGAAATGACACCAACTGTAGATTCCTTGCGATACTTGTCAGTCGAATGTGAAGGTGACTTTGCAGGGAGATTGATAGTATAGGATAAAATATGGTAGGAGATAAATAGGAAGATCAATAGCATGAACGCCGTGGACCAGTTGAACGAAATACATATATAGTATGACATAGGACAACATGAGCTATTGGACAAATAAAGCCCAATCCAAAATAAAATGAACAATCGCATATATTGGGAGGAAATGGTAACAGTATATGATGATGACTGAAGCTCTAGAATTGCAATAGTCATAAAGGGGGCAACGACAGGGAAAATTGATGATGTATAATTATTTGTGCGAATTTCGAAGGGTAGAAATAACAAGATCAATGCTAATAAAAATAGGGAAATGGAAACAAAATTTGAGGGGCAGAGAATTATAATTAAGGAGGAATTATAGACTTCATTATAGGGAGAAGAGTTCCTCGGAGTTGAAAAGCATGATGAAGGGGAAAGGATGAAGAGAAACGGTCTAACTTACGACAGAATGTGTACGGTGAGTGCCTATAACTCTGACGAGTTACTTTACCATTGATTGGGGATCGAGTCTATGATTGTCTGTTGATGTATCTTAGGACGTAGAGGTATATGTTCGCCTGATGATAAAAATTAAGAAGTTGGGTAGGGTAGAGGTATCCTCTTCCTTGATTGAGTAGGCTCTGAGAGGTATACCTACGGCGAAATTAGTTATGGCGACCTAATAAATAGTCTCGAAATGTACGGGAAGGAAAACTTGTAGAATGATAAGTTAGGTGAATTGGCTTTGATAAGTTCTTGATTACCTACCTTCGCTACTAGTCGACGAGGACTAGGGGTTTCTAGGAATTGATGAAAATTAGGGTAGGGCGCAATTGTTGAGATCCATGGATGTGTGTGTAGAAGTGGGAAGAGATGAGAAAATTGAAATCGAACGTGCCACAATATTCCTCGGCGTATCCCTAGGTATATTGTGGAGGGAAGGAACGATAGATTTACATATAGATATATTATTGATTGAAGGTGGATTTTTGAGAAGCCAATTGGGAATCGATACTTTCCCGCACGTGTCGATTGGGGGTAATGATAGATGAGAAGGAAAGAGTAGTCGGTTTAAAAAAAATAGGATGGAACTTACTCTGTGATTTTTAAGGCGCAATGATAGGCGGGTTAGGTTGAAGGTCAAGAGAATATGGAATACTATTGCTGTGTTGTACTAAAAGGCTGCGTAGTAAACTGGCAACCCAATAGTGTGGTTAAACGTGCCAACTCGACGCAAAAACTACCTGAAGGAAAAAGTTAGCCAGTCAATTTCGAATGAGGTCAATCATTTAGACCTACTGGAAAACTTGAACTCAATAAGATGTCGCAAGATCCCTAAGACGGCTGTCCGCACCAAGACCAAAGGTCTGAAATTTAGTTGTTGCGGGTTACCTGTGTCTCAAGAAGGGACCGGTAATGGAACCAAGGACGTTCCAACGACAATACCTTTCGCTGAAGAAAAGAAAAGAAAAGAATGTGGGGTACTACGGCGTACTGAGATCCAGATCGAACCAAGACGATCAGTGGTCCAATAGTAAAGGGTGGATTGGGGATCAAGATACGCGGGTAAGTTAGGGTGCTGTGTGTGAGGATGAGAGGTGAAGTAGAAAGTTGTAGGAGGGAAGGATTTTAGTTTAAGTTGTGTGGGTTTACATTAAATCCCTAATTGAAATTGGGAAGACTACCTACCTAATAGCTACTAGGTAGTACCTTAGGAAAGGGCGGCCAGTGCTTGTACAAACGATCAATCAACTGAAGAGACTGGAGGTAGAAGGTGCATCCACATCTGATCGTAAAATGGAAAGTGCTGCGTTTCAGGGGCATGTAGGTACACATGTACTTCATACTGAGTATGACTCTATCATCCTCGCAGAAAGTAATATGTATAATTGGTTACAAGAAAAGTTTACACGAAAAAAAGAACTAGTAGAGACCATATGGGTTGTTTGCACAGTTATTATTTGTATTGGTGACGTGGATAGGTCAAGGCTCAGTTGGCTATGGCCTAAGAGTAGCTTGAGTAATATCAAACGAATCATCTCATCTGTCCCGTACTGTTGGTATGATCAGATAATAGTCATAAACAAGCCGACCAATCGCTATGTTCTTTGAGCAGATTAGCCCAAAAATCTTTAACCATACTGCTGGGGCAAGAAAGTGCCTTGTACGAACACCAGATCATCCCCTCAATAGTGCTTCACTTTTTGGCATTAATATACGCTGAGATAATGGCTATAGCCTATTCCAGTGGCTAGGCCATATTTGGGAGGTTAATTACTCACATTGTGGACGATGGTATAAGAGTCCGATGACGGTACACTCTAAGGTTACTAATGGCAAAGACAAACTTGTGTATGGGTACCTAAATTAGAAGTATACGATGATTTGTTATGATGTAGATAAATAAAGATTTTACCTTGGCGCCCTCAAGAATTGAGTTGATAGGATAGTCAGTTAGCTTGACAGTTATGATCGTTGGGAACTAAATACCTACTTAGCACTGTGAACCGTATGTCATACACACTATGTATATCGTATGGACTTAACTAATGAGAACAATCTACAGTGTTGTATCTTCTTCAGTGACAATTTACTTTAGTGTTAATTCTAATAGGGGGGAACGTTCTGTATTTTCAATAAGTCGAAATTTCGTGAAGGTTTATATCGTCACTCGACGATTAAGTTGAAAATAATTTTTACATCAATTTTATTAGATTATTTGGAACAGTATCGTGAAAATCACTAAAATTTGTGCCTGTCAATAGTATGATAATGGATTACAAAGAAACACAAGTGAAGGGAGACCAGTGATTTATTTCATATCAACTTTCATTGAGATATGGTATGACATGTATCCCATAAAGCTGGGTTAGTAGTTTGTTATAATCTGAAAATTGCCTTTCCATGATTGGAGGTGACTAAATATTGTTCCTTGCCCATAACTCGAGTTCTCTCGTTTACGTATACAATACTATCAAAAATAAAGCCTGAGTATGAGATTATTTACGTTTCCGGAACTTTCTAACCGGAACAGGGTAACATATCACCATAGTTTGATTAAAAACATCCAAGAAATAATATACTGCAAAGTCTAATTCCAATTCATTCTACAGTCTCTGTATTATCTATAGTATAAAATATGCTTGAAAATTATTAGCTCAGCGTTATTCAGCTAGACATTCAGTCATGTGTGATTACAGGACAGTATGGGACTGGCTTTCATCCACCCAAAAGAACTGGAATTTACAAAGCAAAAATTCCAAGGGAAATATACGTGATATCTAATAACTATGAGGCGGTATCTATCTTATAATACGTGGTTGTTCACAAATCAAGCCAACTTATTCTTCTTACTTTCACAAATAGACAATGAACCATTGATTTATCCATTGAGTGACCCAGCTGGAAAAAATTAACATAGAGAACATATCAATGAGCTTGTAAAAGGAAATTTGTTAAGGAAGTGTCATGAGAAATAGATCATACTTGAATAGATCTCCTATACAAGCACATCTCAACTGCTTTTTGTTGAATAAATCTTCTAAAATTTCCACAGCTCTTCAGGATCAAGTTATAATTATCGTAATATTTATTTTTAATTGTAAATGTGTTCTCAGTCGTTGATAATGATTCAAACATACACCCCCTATTCACCCTTCCAACCCCTGAAAAAGGGGTTGAGGTTATGCGCCACAATGCTGCGCCACATTCCCGTGAAAATAGGAGGTATGTGTTCAGGGCTACCAACATACCCAGTAGTATACCCATTATCATATCACAAGTCACTAGATTCAAATCCTTAATCTCATAGCCTCTCCATCTTTTCGAATGAATTGATTAATCGCCAGCTAGGTATTCTACCGCCTAACAAAGAAGCCCTTCTTTGCACCCGCACCAGCACCAGCCACCATACCCGCGCGTTTCCTTTTCAACAGACTCTCCTTGGAATCCCGCGCATTCTTCTGTATCCTAGGAGCCAGCTTCTGATCTCCCTGCTCAGCCAAGACTCTATACCGCGTAGATCCCACAATCTGGTCTTTAGGTCTCTTGTTCTCTGTTTCAAAATTGATTTTCTTGGGCTTTTTGATAGCCCTCAGAGCAGATTCATCAAAATCTTCATCCTCGCTCGATGAATCTGTGAGGAATTCGGCGGGTAAAACGGTGGGTAGGTTGAATTTCTGGGCCCGTCTTCGTCCAGCTGTTACTGCTGTCTCGACCTCGGCCACGCCGTTATCCTCGCTAGAACCGCGCTCTTTACCAGAAGACTTGGCCTTGCGCTGATGTACTTCTACCGTCGCGCGCGAACGTTTTCTTCGCTCGGCTTGTTGTTTGTAGAGACTGTCTTTTTCTTGGCGCTTTCGTTTTAAGGATGCGGCTTGTCTGAAGTTGGGTTAGTAATGGGTTATAAAGTTATGACAAGACACGACTCACTTCTCCGCAGCCTCCGAAGCAGCCTGTGCCGCCATCTGCACCTCCTTGGCAGCGGCCTGAGTGGACACTGCTTCGGGCGCATCATCATCGTCGCTCTCTTCTACCTCATTTTTATCATCCTCGTTCTCCGCCTTCTTGTCCTCCTGCGCCGCAGCGCTAGCCACAAACTTCTCTATATCGTCATCATCGCCAAATACGACATGTTTTCCCTTTGGTTTGGAACTAGACGTTGGTTCGGGTTCTAATGATTGCGACGCTAAGTTCTGGCTGGCTTCCTCTTCTAATTGTTTTGAAGCGCTTGAAAGTTCGGCATCGGGCCCTGACTCTACCACTCCTTCATTTGAATCTTGCGAGTCGGGAATAGCGACAGATTCGGGCTTGTTGGATACAGGTATTTCGACCTCAATATATGTCTTCCGTCCGGTGGGAGTGGTTTCTTCTTCTCTCGTCCGGACTGCTAATCTTTGTCTCTTGGGACTTCCTGATTCTGGTATCAGAGGAGCGCTGTCTCCATCGTCGCGATCGCTGTCGATATCGTCTCCAATTGACTTCCGCTTTCCTCGTGACGAGACAGGCTTCTCTTGGACGGGTGTTTCGCTCGGCTTCGTAGCCTTTTCTTCGGTAGTATCTTGTGAGCTATTAACACGACTTCTAGTACGTGGAGCCATTGCGATTTATAATATGATGTATTTTATGATTTAATCGGGAGGTTTGGGAAGATGAAGTACTTCGAAAGTGACGTGCAGCTGCCGTCTTTTATCCTGGTGGGATGGGGATGATCGTTCCTGACTCCCAGCAACTTTTTTCTGTTTGTTTGTTGATCGATAAGATAATCGAGCTCTGATAGGTCAATAATTTTCAATTAAACCCCCCGTTACACGAACATCGGTAAATCTTCGGCTTAGCGAATTGCTCACTTTTATCCATCTTCCGACACCTCGAATCTGTTCGCGATGCTTCAACTTAATATTGAGGCAATAATGTAATTTAAAAAAATTCGATTAATTTATTTACAATTCGATCTATCAGTCATAAAGCTACGACTTAGAAATAGCGAAGAAGCGAGCTAACATACCGCTCAATGGACGACGATAGTCTCACCCATCCCTCATCCGCCAGGTCCTCTATGAGATGACCTAACCTAACTGAAACATCCGATCGACTCCTCAATCTCAGGAGGCGTTCTTACAAATCAAAATGTCCACCAAATCTCTCCGGCGATTAATACGCCTACCCCTAACCCTCACCCTCCAACCCACCAACAGACCCGCCCCCAACATCATCCCCCAAAGCCCCCGGACCCCCCACCTCCGGCCCCTATCCAGCACCCCCCGCCCAGCCAAAGCCCGGCCATCCGCGCACCGGGCCAACGTAGTCCGCATCCAATTCACAGAAGCAGACATCCCGCCCCTCTCCTTCTGGGAAACCCACGCCAAACCACCCTTAATCCCCGCCGACACCGTAACACCAGAAGACTGCCACGCCGCCTGCCAGGACTACGTACCCCTCGCCCTAGAAAACAAACCCGACTGGCGGCGGGTCTTTAACCCCTTCTTCACCCTGCACTACGTCGCCGTGATCCTTCTGAACACCCCGGGCAACACCTCTCTAGCCCTACACATCCTGCACACCGGCATAGCGCTCAACTACGCCCCAAGCATCCTAACAGTCGCCCGCCTCGCCTTCAAAACCAACAAACTCGACGACTCGCGCTTCGTCGCCGCCAAGGAAGGTCTGGGGCGGCTATCCTCGCCGCCACGCAAAGGCCCCGGAAGCCTGTACCGGCCCGACGCGCTGACTCTCTCCGGGCTCGCGGCCTCAGCGCTCCAGACACCCAAAGACGACGAGCGCGCGCTAAAGTTCTTCGAGGAAGCAGCCTCGGTGTACGCCTCGGTGCCCAACGCAGAGTGGCAGTGGCGCACGAGCGCCGTGCTCGAGCAGAGCAAGATCCGGCTGCGGCAGAAGCGGCCGGACTTGGCGCGCGAGGTTCTCGAGAATAATGTGCGCGAGCTGGATAATGCGGAGGTGCTGTACGCGTACGCGATGCTCCTACCGGACTCGGACCCAGCACGCGTGCGTATGATCGAGCGGGCGGCGATCAGCGCTTCCCCGGGCGCTGCGCGGGAGATGGGGCGGATCGAGTTGGAGCGGGCCTCGCAGCCGGGGTTGAGCGAGAGGGACCGTCGAGACAGGTGGGTTTTTGCCAACGAGTGGTTCAGGATTGCAGGGGATAAGTCGATTTAGTCGCCTGCCTAGATAACTGTATGAATTTGGGGTGTGTGGCTTATTATGGCGCTCGTCATGCTGCTGAAAAACGACGAACGGGGTTCAAAATCACAGGAGATAGGAGCGTGGCTTGTATATACTACTTAGATACTACTAGGACGAGAATAAGAGGTTGAAATCTCTATCTCTCAATTGTATATATAGATGTGTTTAATTAATGCTGCTCTTTTGAGAGTCGTATTTCAATATTTTAATATTTCCATGCCCTAGTATAGATGAATACAGTCAAAATGTAGGACCATAAATATTGATAAAGCTGTATTCATTCGATGACTATTAAGATCTACCAAGCATTCATTTCAACGTATATAACCATATCCCATAACTAATGCCAAAAAGGAGCTAGATATAGAATCACTAGTACTACTCAATATTGCCGAATATATATCCATGGATATTTAACAAAACAACTCGGATTGACTAGCGGTCCGACTCGTCCCTGGTATCTACCCAGAGTCGGCCTACAATATCAACGCTCGGAATGCCTATTGACATTCCGTCTCAGAATATACAGATGTGGTTCCTTGCTAGCTAATGAGGCTTCAATAATACACCATCCATGCAACCTGACAAATACCTTCCTACAAAGTCGAGCTGGGAATCGATAGACGCCTGTCTCTCGTTTCCCAGTCTGTAGCGCCTCTTGAAGCCAAGATTCAATCAACCCTGTGTTCTCATTGTTCTCAAACTTGCCTTCCAAAGCCAAAGATTAACCTGCCTTCCGATGATTTACGCCGGTCACTCCCTTCCCCCACCTAACATAAACACTCGTCCGCACCCCAAATCGGTGCACCCGATGCTAACATAAATGCCACCATGCTTCAACGCCCGGACGATGCAATACTTCCATGTACTGTTCTAATACAGAACTTCGATGATCGGGAAATAGGGCCAGGGGATATATATCATACGGATGATATGGGGTGTTAAGTCAAGACCCAACAGTCTTAGTCGTCATGAAAGAACGTTGTGTTCCCCACGAGTGGCGCAGTTGAAGGGCCAGCGTCGCTCATGTCAACGTCTCTACTACCAGGATCTTCGTCAGAGCTGGGTAGACCAAGCGCAGAGCGACGGAAATCGCCTGTTAAAGGCCGTGTCGGCGATGGTTCGGCGAGCTTCTGAGGTAGAGAGAGTGGCCTCTCACAGAAGGCGTCATCTGGTGGTGAGAATGACCAAACCTAGTTGTTACGTGAGTAGAGTTAAGGGGATTATTTTAAGGGGCATAGACGTACCTCCATCATGACTCTACTTCCCCTGTTCGCAACTGCGACACACTTCTCGTCTTCGAAAACCACCCTCCAAACTGATTCGGCTGTGATGAGTTCTCGTACGAGATGGCCTGTCTTTACGTCCCAGACCTTAACCCTACCATCGCTACCACCGCTTACGACACGAGTGTCATCGAATTGTAGGCTGGTGACACTATTGTCATGAGCCGCTAATCGATGTATCGGACACATTTTCTCGAGGGACCAAACCCTGACCGATCCGTCCGAACCTCCCGTGACAAGAGTGTTGCCACGCAATTGCAACTGTCCTACTAACGAAGTATGGCCCTGGAGTACAGCAATAGCCTCACTGATTCGAATTAGTATAATAAATTCAACCGTAGTATGCAACATTGTAACTCACCCCGTATGCGCGTCCCAAACACGAACACTGGTGTCGAGACTTCCAGTGATTACTCTGTGGCCATCGAATGCGATGGCATATATTTGGCTGAAGTGGCCGGTAAGGGTGTGTAGACATCTGCCCTCAGAGATACTCCATATTTTGGCTGTCGCATCGTAGCTTCCAGAGACGACGATGTCGCCCTTGATTTCCAAACACCTTACGCTTGCTTGATGCCCGACGAGAACGTTTTTGCAAACTCCTTGTCTGATATCCCAAACTCGTAGAGTGGTATCACGCGAGCCAGATATCGCTGTATTTGCGTCCGACATCTTAAGGCAGCGGACTGTCGATGTATGGCCACGCAAAGTGTACAGGCATCTCCTGATACTCTAGTTAGCTAGAAGCTTATAAAATCTCCTCGGAATTAAGCTTACCCGGACGTCATATCCCATACTCTCACATCACGATCACATCCACCACTAACAAGAATATCTTCCCACGGAACCATAGCCCAGACCCCCATAATGTGGCCCTGGAGAGTGCGAAGGGCGTTGCCTTCTCGGTCAAAAATGTGTATTCTCGCATTGTCAAGAGCTACAACGATATACTTCGGAGTTAAATGTAAACTGGTCACAACTCTGCCGTCCTGAGTAATTGTTCTTGTTGTGTTGCGCCCACCGGTCCTCCATGCCGATTCAACGAGATATCTCTGCTTGAAATGGGACTTGTATGATCGGAGTTTGGGGCGTCCGGCGGCCGACGAACCTTCCGCGAAAGTGTCAAAGCTGCGAGAAGTCGCGTGAAACGAAGGACCAGGAAGGGCTCCGGGGAAGCTGTGGATGTATTCGGGATCAGCTAGAGGTAAAGCACCAGGTCTAGCCGACACATAAGGCGGGATCCCATAGGAGACTTCAGAAAGTCGACGGCCATAATCATGTTTCACACATAAATTCTTCCACGTTACATCATCGCTTAACAGATCCCTCCACCGTCTAGAAACCTGCGACGCGCGCGCAAGCACCTTTGGATCATCGATGAATGATAGTATCCTCAAACATAATTCGTCTGGCAAACTGGTGAAGGGATCCTTTTTCAGTAGGGGGCTCACGAATTGATGTACGAAGCTAAGTTGTTGGGTTGTGCACATATTCAACATATCCGCGAGGATCCGGTTCCTCTGTCGCCCCGAACATGTCTTAAAGTGTTGCCTTACTTGGGCAAGGAAGAAATCTTCGTCGTCAGCAGCGTCGCTCCAATCAGGCTGCGCATCCGTCGGTCCCGGCGAGGCTGCCGGCGTGGGAGGTGGAGGAGGAGATCCCGTAACTTGTTGGTCGAAATCTGGGGCTGGTGTGCTCATACTCGGTGTAGGCGGACCTCTTGGCCGGGGTTGTTGAATCATTTTGTCCATTCTTTGATTTATAATAATAGGCCCAGCACTCGTCGTATTCAGAGACAACTCTTCGCCGCAGTTCAAAAGACTAGCTCTCCTCCCGGAGAGACTGAGCGGTTGACCATAGCCTGCCATGTCTGGTAAATTATTAATATCGTATTTCGGTATGCCACGATAACTGATTTGGGTTATCTGTCACGATCGACAGGTGAATCGCCGGTTGATTCGGGTAGAATGGATGTATTGACCTGTACGGCCTGAACGAGGGTCAGCTATCGCGATGGAGGGAAGTAATTATATTTTTATTATATTGACAGACAGAAGGTGAGTGCCAGGTGAAGGTCCACTATGTGAGGCGGCTGTTCGTATAGCGGTGCAGGTGTTGGAGTAGGGACACACTAGGATGGTTATGCATACGTTCGGATCAATGAGACAAGCCGTCCCAAGGTACAATTGGTAGGTCAAACGACCCAAGGTACCATCTAATCTGATTTTGCGAAGACAAAACCAACACTGTTACAATTGATGTACGATGCTGTGGCGAGAATCGGTACGGTTCAGCGACAGGAGAATAAATCGCGAAGAGGGTTATAATGGCATCGGTAGCGTGGATGTCCTCTCTAACAAGTCCAAAGGCACCAAAGTTGTCGGCGGACACGGGTACGAAAGGTTTTCACAATATTAAACCACAAAATAATCCACCAGGTATGCGTAAACAAAGAAGAAGTTGTTGGATAAACCTTTCGAAGGTTTTCTAAGGCGGACGAAAGATTGATGATGTTGATGGTGTAATTAAAGTAGTCGGTTGAGGATGGTAAGATGTGATTCTCTAAAGTGGAATGGGGGCCAGGAGCGGGTTAGGAGCGGAACCAAGCAGAGATGAGCAGGAACGTGCCTCCCCATAGCCTGCCCTGCTTGCCCATTGAATTTCTCCCGCCGGGGGGGAGTGCAACACTAACGGCACCGTGCATGTACTGTTTTCGACTGTTTTCGAAGTAGTGGTGACTTAAGGTTAATTTAGTATTTAACGTTAATCATTCAAATTGTAACTGCCAAATTTCAATGCTTTCATGCAGCTACTTAAGTTCACAATCATATATGTATCGATAATAAGGATATGTCTCTTTAATGTTTCAATATCTACATTATGGCAATTATTATAGGCTTTTGGTCCTGCACAGTGTTCGTACAAATATTTGTGTATTAGTAGGGTGAGTTCTTAATTAGTAACCCTCGGAATCTAAAACGTTTCGTCGTGCTAGGGTCTTCGATCTCCCTAGGTACATGTGTAGTCTAAACTTAGCTGCTTAGTCCCCTTTAACTTTGGGGTTAGAATCTGCATTGACTTCTATAAAAGGCAGGGAATGTCAGACATCGCGACTCGAAGTCGCTATCTTGCCATATTCGTATTAAACAACATCATATGGATACATTGATGTATTCGGGTTTATGTTAACTTACTAGATCGATCACCTTACCATCTCCAATATTACATATAAACCACTATGTGACCCGAGGTATGCGGCGGCTACAATGGACGAGGGGACTATTATAGAGTACACTAATGAAGAACCCCTTGTCCCATGCAAGTCAAGATCACGTTGTACTTCAAATATGTACAATATGTACAGACATACATACAGTGCATCACACTCCTCTCCAGTCATAAAGTTTGTATCGATACCTCTCAACATGCCTCGATTCTGATTGGTCGTTGACCCCATCCACCCTTTTAGAAAAGCTCAAGTGCTATACATATCCGCAATTCCCACCTGAGTCCGCAGCACTAGCTCTATCCTTGAAAGATTATTGACAGACAGAAAGATAGAATGATGGATAATCGATGCTTGACAGTGGTGGATGATATGAGCATGTTACGATAACCACCCAATCCTTTTTGAGACATACTTACGATGCAAGGCAAGATACGGACTATTACTTACTTCCTTACTCACTGACTTGGCTCCATTTACTATCATCTCCATCTTGGACCTCTATTTGCACAACCGGGATAAGTCCAAGTGTGTTCCATGTGTTCGACATCATGCACATTGCATTATTGTCTATTTTTTAATTATTATTTCGCCTGGCTTATCATATCCTGCCAGCACATTGTTAGGTAACTATACGCCGTGGCAACTCACTAGGTAACTGATAGCCTAATGACTTTGTGAGAGAAATATCAACGTCCAATATTATACACCAAGTATAATACTTAGACACCCTCCTATAACTCGATCTGTTCGAATAGCAGAAAATCAAATAAATGTACATGGCATAGTTATCCTGCTACTGCGAGATGACATCGGTGATTAAATTCGACTGGACGCCCATATTATCCAAAGGTTTCTAGAGTTTTAAAATTTTGGTTGGGGTGACGGAGCGGCATATGTGCTGAGTCAGAAGTGGCTGTAAGTATACATTTCTCTCAGTATTTACTATATTACAGAGCACGAAGGTTTAAACCCATTGCCCTAAAAGAATATATACGGTTATTTAATTGGTACCTATTACGATACGATTACTACGTTGCTGATGTTAAATTATACCGAAGAAGAATAGACACAAGAAAAGAATATAAAAACTAATAAGATCGAGGGGATAGTTTAATAATACTTCCAATCTTACTAAGGAGACGTTACCTCAGGTTATAACGGTAATGTAATACGCTCTATCCTGTAAAGGTGCCCGGTGAGTTCGTTATTATCTAATAGTAGGTCATTTGAACGAGCAGCCCAAACATGAAAATCCTCCTCGTCTCGTCGCTAGTTTCATTAGAATCGCCGAACCCCGTAAAATCGTTAGGTCGACAATGAATTGTAGTTGCCTGTCGTCGGCATTTGTAAAGCATAACTAAACATATACCGTATTACACCCAATTATCGTCTTAACACATTGGTAAATCCGTTACTCTGGACAGGCAGTGTGGACAGCCCGCATTCAAGTATGCAATCAAGAAAATGAACAACAAGTTGGTCTATATACAGTCAATGGGTATATTCTGTACATGAAATTGCACAAGGAATCCTGTCTCCGACGAGGACCTCGTTGCGATCGTATAGCATTCAATGTCTTTTGAATACGCCCTTAATATGCCTACCCACCTAGGCAGGGTAGGATGCTAAGGGGTAACGCATATCGAGGACCGCCTCATGTCCTTAACCTAGATATGCCGGCCATCCAATCCCAAGATTCCGACTCCTTCTATAGCCTAGTGGCAATACAAATTTTGAATAAAAGGAAACACAACCCAAATTATTTTCGTGGAATGTTTAGTGATGGTGACCGAACTGCGTGAGAAGAGGCAAGAACATTCCAATTACTGTCGCCAGTGTTTCCCGCATCTGAGGGTGGGCATGTTTTCGTTGGTTCCCATCGGCATAACCGTTGGGGATTGAGCCGGTGTCGTGTCCGGAGGGCGAGTCGCCTTCTTGCATAGAGTGCATCGCGACATAACTAGGAATATCGGTTAGACAGAGCGGACAAGAATGGTTTAGTTGAAGCTCACAGAAAGGTTCCCGCCGAGAATAATAACAACATTCCAGTCCACCACTGATTCAGCTGACCCTCGCCGCCTCCCCCAAGGAAACTAACAAGTATGAAAGTTGCCCATGCACCAAATGGGGATGCTAGGCTGAATACAATCAAGTGACCTCGAGCCGCGCGTTTAGAGAGGCCCTGTTTTAAGAGAATGGAGGTAAGGCCAAACGCTGCTGGTGCCTTGTGTACCATTATGGCAATGAATACAATAAAACCTAGCTTCGTGTCCGGCGAAGTGGCAGATGCCCCCATTGCGATGCCATCTGCCGCGGCATGTATGACTAGTCCTGTAGTAGTTGCCAGGCTCCTCGACTGTTTCGGTGTCGGTGTTAAGGATCCAAGGAAGCCCTCGGACTCTTCTTCGTCACCAGAGAGGGATGAGCCACCCAGATTGCTTAGGCTGATATGTCTTGGCGGTGGAGGCGGTTGGAAGTTTTCCGACGCATGGCGAGGAAGTCGGTCGATGAGGAACATAAGAATGAAACCCGTGATTAAGGAAAGGCCAATATAGAAAGTTGGAACTTCAATCCCAGCATGTTGGCTTCCGGTGGAGGTCTTGATGTCGTCGCTTGGTGTCGTGTCTGGATCTTGTGCCCATCTAGGAGCCAACATATGTCCTAGACCATGTAAACTTCTAGTATTTTGGGAATGCGTAGGAATCGAAGCTTCGGTTATCGCCTCCACCCCCTCCGGTATTATAACTATCAAAGATGTGCCGACGAGTATGCCTATGCCGATGCTTGATATCAATCGAAGTTGCGATTGTGACAGGGACATGGATAATGGTAGTGCGCCTGCAAGAAAGGAGCTACTCTTGTCAGTTTTCGATTTTAGGAGTCGGGGTATCCGAGTATTCGAAGCACTCACGCCAATGCCATAACAACCTGAAATGAGAGAAATATATTAGTATTCAAATCAAAGTATAGGAGGAATGCAGATAAATGTGGACAGCATCAATTGGCATTGGAGGATAGCGGACATACCGTTAAGGCGAGAAGAATGAATAATCCAGTTCCAGCCATGATTGCTACGTTCACCTCAAGGAAGCACCTAACGGATAATTGCTTGTTACCGATTCATTGGCAAGAATTCTGGCTGGAACTAAATATTCGTCCGTTAAAGGCAATACCTGACGGGAAAGGAGGATGAGGGAAGGGATAAGTTAGAATAATGAAGTATCTGGTACGTAGGTAGTAATCTGAAGTGACGAGAATAAGATCAGTGTTGAAAGGTCATCTTTTTGCGACGGTAGCCTCAAAATGTCAGAGCCTGTCCTAGTGATTTCCTAGCACTTTCCCTGTCAAATGTCCACTAAAATTGACCCCTGTTACAACTTGCTTTTAGGCGGGACCTTGCACGTCACTGCCGATTTTCCATTTTGAGCGGTACCTTTTTATGTATTGCGCTAATCTCAAAAGGGGCTTAGATTAGACGCCAAGGTCCGAACGATCTGACTTAGAACCTTGGAACCTCTTTTACCCTGGATTATTGGCCCGTGCATACATACGCTGTGCTGCTGCCATGATCCACTAAAGGCAAACGCGCCGCTTCCATCATTAGAACGCGACACGCAGATCTTGGGAAGCGCAGCGCGTTAATTGTTCAACGACGACTGCCTTCTTACTATTCAAACTCTTTCCTTCTATTAACCATTGATTCTCCAGGCGCATACGATCAAATCGCATCATATCACCTGGTGCTTCTATCGCATTTTCTTCTCTTTTTAATTCTGTCCACAACAATCCCAGAGTAGCCTATCCTACAAACGGCTTGCGTCGTAAGCTTCTAAGGCTATCTATCGCATACACAGCCGACCACAAATTTGGTCTTCCACATACGAGCCTATCCCACACCACCCATTCCCAGATCGTCGCCAGTAGGCTTTGTCCAAAGCATTGTCCAACAAAATGGAAGACGAATGTATGTGACCTTATTCACACGATCCAACGAAAAAAAAAAATGAGCTGACATATTTTATAGGGATGGTGGATGCCAACGAGGCAATCACGCTGTCGCTCGTGCGACCCGGACCGGCGCTGAACTACACTAACATTGTAAGCTTCAAGCCGAAATTCACATACCCCATTTTTGGCGAGGAAGAACGTATCTTTGGTTACAAGGGTCTGAAGATCAACATTCGCTTTGATGCTAGGGACCTGCGCCCTCACTTTTCGGTAGCATCATCGCGCAAGTTTACCTCCGTTGGCGATGTTGAGGCACTGGATGTGAAGGAAAAAATGAAGGAATATTTACCAGGTGGTATGTCAACTTTCCATTGTAATAAAATATACGCTGCGGCTACTAACAGCCTTTTAGTCGCATTCCAGTCCAACACAGGGTACGAGCTGAATCTAAATGTTCTTCCTGAACCATGGTCGCCTCCGGGAACTTTAGTGGATAGGGTCGAGAAGAATGGGGAAGTCTACGAAATCTGGCACGGAACCTTAGCCATGCCAGCTGTTCATCAGATGATGAAGCGCATCCAGATCGCTGTCCTGTTCTACATTGAGGGTGGTTCCTACATAACCGAACTAGATGAGACCGATGAATCGGAGTCTTATCTTGCCCGATGGTCCGTATACTGGGTGTACAAGGTTGAGACTTTACCGAGCCCAGATCCGGAACTCTTGGTTAAGTTCCAATACACGTTTCAGGGCTTTGCGACAACGTACAACTTTTGGATGTTCCAGGGTTCAACGCCGCCATCCTCACCCGATGCCAAGAAGGATAATGATTCCTTGGAACTCTCGAAGAGTGATTCTCATGTCGATATGATCCACCGCATGCGAATTTCCCAATTCTTGATCCTCCCCCCTTTCCAGGGAAAGGGTATCGGCTCTTTGCTTTATAGCACATTGTTCAATATTGCTATGAAGTCTTCTACGACGGTAGAAGTAACAATTGAGGATCCTAATGAGGATTTTGATCTCTTACGAGACTTGTGCGATATTAAATATCTGCGCCAGAACGTTCCCGAGTTTGCCGAACTGGAGGTAAACACCGATATTCCTCTTCCTGAAAAGGGTGGTCTGTTGCACAACAACACCCAGGTATCTCTTGGCAATGGAAGCCGCTCCAACGAGGGAATTGTAAATATGAAGAAGCTAGAGAGTATCCGAGTCAAGAATAAGATTGCGCCACGACAATTCTCCCGACTCGTGGAGATGCAACTCATGTCCAAGTTGCCCGATTCTGTCCGACCGCGATCTGACCCTGAAGTCAAGAAGCCAGCCGCTTCGAAAAGCGACAAGCACCAGTACGATCTCTGGCGTCTTCTTCTCAAGCAGCGCCTCTATCGCCGCAACGTCTCCATCCTAGGAGAATTCGAGATTACTGAGCGCATCATCAAGCTGAACGAGACCCTCGATAATGTCGAGTGGGAGTACGCTCGAATTCTCGATCGCCTTGAGCCGAAAGCTGTCACCTCCAGTACAATCGCCATTGTTAGTGGCAAGAGAAAGTCCAACGGTGAAGCTAGCTCAGAGAATCACTCGAGCAAGAAGGTACGAATTTCAGACGAGTAAAAGGGCTATGCATAGCTTGAGCACTGCTTTGGGTGTGATTTCCGGTTGGTCATGTGGCATTGGAGTTTAGGTTGGCTCTATGATACCTGCTTTGCATTAACGTTCCTGGGGGGGTTTGGCATGTCTGGAGGAGATTTGGGTGGTTTTCATAGTCCCAATTCCTGGGGATATTGGAGGACATCTGGGCACAACTCTAGGCTATAATGCCATTCATTTGCACATTTGCAGACACCCGTAAATGAGAGGACATAGTCCGAATAAAAGTTTGTTGATTTAATGATCTCAACTGTGATTCTAGTCTATTTTCAAACGCCGCAAACTCCATGCAATATACACATTTAGAGGTAATCCTCACTCTACCTAGGTGCCTTTTCCAAGCTGGCTAGCAACGACGGCGGCTTCTTTCACTGCTTTGGCGACAGTTGATCGTACCTTTCCCTCCTCGAGTACCAAGAGACCCTCGATGGTGCATCCACCTGGTGTGCTGATCCTGTCACGAAGCAGGGCCGGGTGATCTCCGTTCTGGACCAACGCAGCACAACCCTTCATACTCTGAGCTGCCATTCTCTGAGCCTCAGCTCGTGGTACACCCAGAGACACTGCGCCGTCGATAGCAGCTTCGAGGACGAGGGAGAAGAATGCTGGACCAGAGCCGGCGAGTGCTGTCGAGGCATCCATGTTCTTGGCAGGAAGGTAGATAACGTCGCCGATACGCTTGAAAATCCAGGTCACAAGGCTGGAGGTGTGGGGAGGTAAGGGGGGAGTGGAATTCGCGATTACGGTCATACCTTGTCGGACCATGCTGGCTGTGTTAGGTAGGGCTCTTACGATTCTGCATCGTCCGTCGACCTCAGGATCTTTCTCGGGGACGGCACCGTGTAGAATCTTCTCGATCTGGGGAACAGTGATACCGGCGCAAATGCTGATCATGAGTTTACCGTGGAGAGCCTTGGCTATGCCCGGCTCGTTCAATAGGTCTTCAACCATGTAGGGTTTGCATGCAAGGATAATAACCTCGCTCTTCATAACTGCGGCAACATTATCCTTCTGGACCACCTTGACGGAGGAACTATGCTCCCACAGAGCCTGCTTGACTTTCTTTGCAGACTCGGGTCGGCGCACGCATGCGATGAAGCGCGAGGGGAGACGGGCGGGGACCTCGTCCGCAGGGGTACATCTTCCGGTAGGCGTCTGCAGTGGCTTGGGACCGGACATTTCCTGCAGGGAACTTAAGATTCCGGAGAGAATTGCGATTCCCATGGTACCTAAGAGAGGTCAATTAGCTGACTGCAGATTCGTGTGACGTGAGACATCAAGCAGAGACATACCGCAGCCAAGAACTGCCAAGGTCAGCTCCGGGGCACTATGGTCGTTATGCGTGAGGGCCAACATCTTGTCGATTGCTGTCCGTAGGTGTATGTGGATTAATGATCGACGATCGTCAAAGAGGAATTGCTTGCAACCGAATTGATTAGGTGTTTGGATTTAGATTTGGTCTTGGTTGGGTTGAAAACACCAAGAAGTCAATCGTATAGGTATAACTAACGGCAATGGCTGCCCAAGCTAAAAAGGGAGGTTAAAAAAAAGAAAGAAAAGAAACGACCAGACTAGGAGTAATTTCTTATCCCTCTCTACGAAAACAAGAATTGTATATAAACAAATCAACAGACTAAACAAGAAAAAGCACGTTCCACTGCATCACAGGACACTTGTCACGTTTCCCCCAATAGTAAGCTTAAGTGTTTAATCTTCACGAAGAAGAACCGCTTCAAACTCGATCAGATTCTTCTTTTCATTCTCGTGCTGATGATTCTAAGGTACTAAAAGTTCCGTATCCATTTACCGAAGTGACACCGAGTACCTAGCCTGATCTGCCCGTTGACGCTAATCTTCACCGTTAACCTTATTTGCCTTAGTGTCACAGATAAAATCCCTGCTTGACGGGTAGTTGCTTCCTACAGCAGGTACCTACTCTTAGGGGTGCAAAGGTTCGACCCAGAAATTAATTGGTACTGTATTGGGCATCTAATATGCTAAATTCGATACCTGATAGTGATCTGTCCGCTAAGTTGTAGTGGATAATATTAGTTTGTGGTACAAACTCGTACAGTATGTACAAAAGTTTTTCTTGTACCTACCGTTCGTTCTTGCCTTGTACCATCTTGTACTTTCTTTTTTTTTTTTTTTTTTCGTTCAGCACAGTATTGAAAGACAGTCGCGGGGCAGACTTTTCTATCTTATCGTGATCCCTGCCTTTTACATGAATAGGTACTGGGGTGCAGTAGCTCTTGGGAACTTAAACTTCCCAGCCTTAGATCTTCAGCCTTGTCTTCGTCCGTACCTCTTTACACACTTCTATTCTCAATCGTTCAATTTACTTACACACACACACACATACCCTCTCTCCACTTAGTAAATTGGTTTCTTTTACGAAGACGATCACGCTACTGTTCTTTTCTACACATTTACAATGGCGGCTGTAGATCCTTTCGAAGTGCGAATGCGCTTCAGTTCTCAACTGCAACACTTGAATGCCAGCACAACGTCAGCCCAGAAAGCTGCCCAGTACGCTCTCAAGTACAAGGACATGGATGAGGATTTGCATTCATGCATTCTGGAGCAACTTGAGAAGGTAAGTTTTTTTTTCTAACTTTTATCTTCTATTAATATTTGATATCATTCATGCTCCAATGCTACTATTGTTTCTATGGGTCAAGACTCATGGATTGAAACCGAATCTCGTACTGTCAGCGTGTCTAAGTTAAACGTCTATTAACCTTCAGTCTTAGACAAGCATGAATACCCGAGCCAACATCATGTACTTTCTCGAACACCTCTTAGAGATGGCATCAAAGGAACGTCAAAATGACTACGTGCGCATGATGCAACGCGATATCCTACGTGTTGTTGATGCAGTCTGTCCCGAAGATGGTTCTGGTGCTGCAAATGTCAAGGTTGTCCGAAAGGTACGTATTAAATCTGAGGTGAAATCGACTTGTATAAGATATTAATCTAATATTTATCATTATTTACAGGTGTTGCAGGGTCTAATGACCAAATCCGTCCTGCTCGAGCAGACCGTAGTCGAGATCGAGGGCTGCTTGAAAGAACGTGATACGTCGGCCGATATTGGTTTCTCCTCACCCGCTAATGGCGATGACACGACTCGATCTCGCAATACCAATGGCGCCTCAACCGCCAATCGCCTCGACAAGCGCCAAATTGAGCAACGCATCGAGGAGGATAGAGAACGACACAAGCGCATGCGTGAGAGTATGTGGGCTGTCCCCGGATCGCTAGAAGAGGAGGCTATGAAGATATACGAAGAGACCAGCGAGTACGGCGAAGATGACGAAACCTTTGGTCGTGAGGAGCGGGAAGAATTCGTGCGAGAAGCTGAGGCGAACAAGTGCGATCACATTCGTGCAAAGGAAGCTGCCGAAGCTGCTGCTATGGCTGCGGGAGGCAACAGGACCTCGTCGCACTAGGAGGCGGCAGCCTTGTCTCCCAGCATCCCTAATGGCAACGGCAGCTCCGAATGCGACGCCAACGATGAGCGCAGCAACGAGCCTGGTGAAACGCGCAGCGACCAACCTTCTGAGGAAGCTGACGACACGCCCGATAGTATACCTGATGGTGGTAACGATGGCCAGCCCGAGAAAGAGCCAAATGGCGAACCACAGGACGAAAGTGGTGATGAGCATGGCAGCGAACATGAAAGTGACTCGAGCGAACTCACTGATGAACCAAAAGGTAAACATGCCTCACATAATTATCGTCGTCGACAAAAAAGACGCGTTCGTCGCTCTATTAGAATGACCATACCACCTTGGGTAGATAACCCTGATCCAAGGTATAATAGGCCGAGAGACCGTCAACTTAGATCTCGAAGACGTTGTAAATTACAACGTGAAATAAAAGCCCAGTACCGTAACGACCAAAGGAAGGAGAAGAGAGAGTGGGCCGAGAAGAATCCCGCAGCCGCCAGAAAAGAAGAACGCGCCCGCATTAGAGAGGACAGACGATGGAGGGAAATGCATCGACAACGGCAGAAGGCAGGGGAGGATACGCATTTGTACAGGAAGAGGTCGCATTTGCATCCCGGCCAGGATGATAAGTGATTTATTCTGAGGCGTTTAAGGAAAGGGGCGGTATTCTACTGCCCGTGGCGTTGGGGTCATTTTAAGGGGAGTTTGTGTCATATCGCATAGCACTTGATAATGACCCGAGGCGTGGAAGGCGTACGTGATTTTCTACATAGCATGTCTGGCCTGATCATGGAAAATTAGGCAATGGGCACTTCATGAATGATACCTCTATGAATTTGATTTCATCATACGTAGCTTGTTTTTCTTGCCCATTACCTGCATAGTTTAATATTGGGGCGTATGGCTTCTTCCAGTTATACCCCTACCTTACCTACCTATTTAAGCGATCGGAATGTCCGGAACCATCCCTTCGATTCCCGCCGCGACTAACTAAACAACCTCCCACTTCCGCACTTGCGTTCTTGAACTAGCTATGCCGAAAATATTGCTCTTCGGCGCTGGCTCCCTCGGGATTCCTTACGCGTGGGTATTATCTAACGCTATAGGGCAGGATAACGTCACCGCGGTCTGCCGGTCTAACTACGCCGAGGCGTCCCGCAATGGCTTCACCGTCCACTCCAAACTCTGGGGCGAGAACCTACACTTCAAACCGCGTGTGGCGAACTCTGTTACCGAAGCTGTAGAGCAGCTCGCGGGCGATAGCGATAATGAGAGTGGTGGCGAGAAACCCGTTTTCGATTACGTGGTCATAGCCGCTAAAGCCATCCCCACCACCCCGTCTACCGCGCAGCTCATCGCACCCGCGGTCACGGAGCGGATAACAGCTATCGTGCTCATCCAGAACGGCATCGCTATCGAAGAGGAGTACGCTACGCTGTACCCCAATAACCCGATTCTCAGCACCGTGGCGTACTTCCCTGCTACACAGGTCAGCCCCGGCGTTATCCAGCACCGCGAGATCGAAACCCTGAACGTGGGCACGTATCCCGCGGACGCGGAGGCCGCGCATAAGAGGGCTGCGGAACTGTTCGTGGACTTGCTTACCAAGGGCGGGGCTACGGGGAAATTACACGACGATGTCCAGCGCGAGAGGTGGGGGAAGTTGCTTGTGAATGCGGTTTGGAATCCGACGTGTGCGCTTACGAGACTGCGGGATAGGCAGTTCATCGAGGCGAATCGGAGCTTGGATTTAGGTCTGGATTCGGTTGGGGGTGGGATGGGGGATGGGTTGGGGTTTATTAAGGAGGTTATGCTGGAGATTGCGGCGGTTGCGCAGGCTTGTGGGTATGCGGATGTCAATGAGGAGTTGGTGGATTTCCAGATTCATAGGGCCGCGGTGAGGGATTTGCCGGGCGTGCAGCCGTCGATGCTGGCGGATGTGAATGAGGCGAAGAGTATGGAGGTTGATGCTATTGTGGGAAATGCGGTTAGGTTGGCGAGGAGGAAGGGGGTGAACGTGCCGATGTTGAAGACGATTTACTTGCTTGCTAATGGGTTGAGTGAGGGTTTTAAGGGGAAATAGGGGTGGGCTGGTTGGTGGTACGGTTGGGGATGTCCGTTGGGTGGCTTGAAGTTGGAAAAGGGGGTAGTAGAATTCATGAAGACCCCAAGCTTTTTAGATAGTATGATTATAGATTCAAGAGAAATAGGAGAAGTTGTAGAGACCTTCTTATAAGACATTGATCGAATAGAGAATTACACTGATCGCTAAAGTGCCCCTTTCCCCAGTAATATCACGAAAGGTCTCTTGATAGAACTTATGCAGATTCAGAATGGATAGAGCAGATAGGGGTGACTAGAATGAAGGTTATTCACTGTTGACAATTTCTCCTACTGTTGTTTAGGGTCTTCGTATTGTTATACAGTATATGTTATATGTATACACATCGGTGTTTAACTTCTTTTTTTGAGGATAGATCGATTAGTCCATAACGACAACAGCTCCTAGCTCCTTCATGGTAGCCATAATCTTCTCGGCCTCATCCTTTGGTACTGCGTCCTTCATCATCTTGGGCGCACTCTCCACGAACTTCTTGCTGTCGACCAAACTCAATCCTAATAAGCTCTTGATCTCCTTGATGATCTTCGCCTTCGAAGCTGGTTCGAAGGATTGCAGCTTCACGCTGAACAGAGTCTTCTCCTGAGCAGCCGGCGCAGGCTCGTCAGCCTCTTCTACAACAGGGGCGGCGACTGGGGCAGCAGCAAAGCCTCCAACAGGTAAATCGGGAATGTTTAGTCGCGACTAGAATTAATTATTAGCAAGCCGCCTCGTCGGCTCAATGGTACAAAATAGACATGGCAAGGCCAACCTTTAAGCTGGAAACTAAATCGGCGGTCTCAAGAAGAGTTAATTGGCTGATTTGGTCAACGATACCGGAGATCTTAGGGCTCGTAGGCGCTGCTGTCGTCTCGTGCCGTCGCTGTATCGTGGGGGTTGTGGTCTGGATGAAGGAAGCTGAGGTTCGGAAAGAAGTGCTGGGGCGAATTGATCGCGCGCAGCTTCGAGCCGCATATCTGCACGGTGCTGACATCGTTGAAAACTTCCTTCGTGGTCCGAATGCCGAATTGACTCTTTTATAGACGGTAAAGTTCGTGATCTCTTTTCAAAGATTTTCGATTCACGAATTGTTGAAGCTCGGACCTTCTCTGTCATTAGCGGGACAAGTGGGGCCACTACCCTAGCCACCATCGGCGATAGACAGGTCCGATCCGGGTCTTCACCGCCTAAATTTAAAGAAACGGCAGAAAAAAGTTACGGCGATCTTTAGCTGCTATCGATTTTACTGGACCGTTTTGGTATCGATCTGAGTGAAGTCGATGAAGAATCTACACATTTTCAACACAATTTTCATATTTTCGCAGTGGCCATGGCGGGGATCGATATAAGCCCGCAGCGGGCGCAGCTATTAACAGAAACGAAGCTGCTAGACGAATTACCGCCCGATTTATTAGAGATAATTCGTGGACAGACCCCTGGAGACTTTCTTGATTCCATCGCTTCAGCGGCACTGATTCCTCGAATTACGGGTTTGATATTCGTTCACTTTGAAAACGTATTCGCCGACGTATGCGCACGATGGCTACTAAAGCCTCGAGTTTCGGGCCAAGAGGATCGAATTATTGCTTCTTTTGCGAGAATCCTCCCATTTGCGCCGCATTTATCTGTTTTCTTAGAACAGTATATAAGTGAGACTTCACTTATACGTGATCCGGGTTCACGACCTTTCCAGATGAACTCATTGGATTCCCTCGAAACACGACGACCTCATGAAGCGGAATTGTTACAGAATTTACTTGCATTCTGGAGACTCCTCAATTTTGACAAGAGGACATTTGGTCAATTAGTCCTACCATCTAAAATTCAAGCTCTATTTAACCATGATCATGCGCTGGTCAGATATCTTGCTATTAGGGTGTTTTGTTGCCAACTTGATGCCTCGGATTACAAACTAGAGGAACTTATTCGCAAGCACATTAAAGAAGGCGATTCTTTAATTGGGGAATTTGACGGGGTTAAGATTGACTACACTTTTCTCTCCCTACTTGAACGTCAACGAGCCGATAAGTTAGATAAATCTCGACTTAGGTTACAGGCCGAATTCGATAAATTCACCGGGGAGTCATTGCCTATCCAGAAATTCACTAAGTTGGTTGCCCAGTATAATGCAACAATTCTTCCCCGACCCAATGGCGAACCTCGTCTACCTTCTAGTCTGGTCTACACCCAAACCACCTTAAATAATCTAGAAAATCTCGCTCAGAATCTCCAAAAAGCAGGCCCAATACTTCTGCATGGATTGCCTGGATCTGGGAAGACATCCGTTGTGCATGAACTTGCCCGCGAACTCGACATGGAGTCCAGTTTGGTGACATTACACCTTAACGAGCAGACCGACGCCAAAATGCTCATTGGATTATATTCTACCGGTTCCAAACCTGGCTCATTTTCGTGGAGGCCAGGCGTCCTTACTACAGCAGTCCGCGAGGGTCGATGGGTCCTAATTGAGGACCTGGACAGGGCTCCAAATGAGGTTATGAGCACTCTGCTGCCACTGGTTGAGCATGGAAAACTTTTGATTCCTAGCCGCGGAGAAACTGTGGAAGCTCCAAGTAGTTTCCGATTATTTGCAACTGTTCGAACTACTCGAGGGATGAATGGGCACGAAAATCTTCCTAGTATGCTAGGCCAACGGTTTTGGCACTTGTCGAGCGTAAAGATTCCTCCGCCTTCCGAACTTGAGCAGATCATCGTTGGAAGCTATCCTCTACTACACAAATACACGCCTACAATAATGTCAGTCTACAAGAGACTTTCAAATTTCTCACTAACGACTAGTGCTGGACGAAGCACCGTGGAACGATCAGTTACGCCTAGGGATGTTTTAAAGTGGTGCCGACGTCTTCAAGAAACCTTGGTGGCATCGGGCTGCAAGACTGGTGATGAACCCATAAATGAAACAACAAGAGATTGGATGTTCATGGATGCGGCCGATTGCTTCTGCGGCAACCTCCCCAAACCGGAAGCAAGAGCTGCTCTTGTCAATTGTATTGCGGAAGAGATGCACCTATCTAAACAACTCATGGAGCATTATCTCAAAGCTCATGTCCCGCAGATAGACGAAAGCCCTAGCAATCTTAAAATCGGAAGGGTCATGTTGACTAGAAGGAAATATGCGAATAGAATAGTAAAATCCAAGAAACCCTTCGCTAGCACCAGTCATTCCAGGAGACTACTCGAGCAGATTTCAATGGCTGTCAAACTGCGTGAGCCAGTACTTCTCGTAGGTGAAACTGGTATTGGAAAGACAACCGTCATTCAGCAACTTGCTGAATCTCTTGGCCATAAGCTAGTGGCCGTGAACTTATCACAGCAAAGCGAAGTTGGCGACCTTCTCGGAGGTTTCAAGCCGATAAATGCGCGAAGTTTGGCTGTCCCTCTAAAGGAAGAGTTCGAAGATCTATTCGCATCAACCGGAATTTCTGCTTCAAAAAACCAGAAGTATATGGAGCAGATCGGAAAATGTACCGCCAAAGGACAATGGACAAGGGTATCCAAGCTCTGGAGAGAAGCGCCAAAGATGTTCAATAAAATTGTTGGCGACCTTCAGGCTCAAGCTGAAGCTCGTAGTAACGAAGACCCTGACGGCGGGCCGGCTGCGAAGAGACGCAAAGTAGTATCAAGATTACAATCGTTGATTGACTTGAAACCACGATGGGAAGCCTTTTCTAAGAGCCTGGATCAATTTGACGTACAAATATCAGGGGGCTCGGGGAGCTTTGCATTCGCATTCGTTGAGGGTAATATTGTGAAAGCCGCAAGAAATGGAGACTGGGTATTATTGGATGAAATAAACCTGGCCTCGCCAGATACTCTGGAAAGTATAGCAGATTTGCTTTCTTCAGGTCCCAATGATGAACCATCAATCCTCCTGTCGGAGACTGGCGATATTGAACGTGTTAAAGCGCACCCAGATTTCCGTATATTTGGGGCCATGAATCCAGCAACAGATATTGGTAAACGAGACCTTCCAATTGGCCTCAGATCACGGTTCACAGAATTCTACGTCAGTAGCCCAGATAAGGACCTGAAGGATCTTCTCACTATCATTAAAGCCTACCTTAGTGGAAAAAGTGCGAAGGACGAGCAAGCAGCCGACGACATTGCTAGGCTTTATCTGAACACCAAAACGAGAGCAGAGGAGAAACGTTTGGTCGATGGGGCTAATGAAGTACCTCATTTCAGCTTGCGAACATTAACTCGTGTTTTGAGCTACGTTAATGATGTTTCTCCATTTTATGGTCTCCGACGAGCCCTATATGAGGGTTTCTCAATGGGTTTCTTGACATTACTAGACAGAGCCTCCGAGGAGACACTTGTCCCACTGATCCACCATCACCTACTTGACAAGCATGGTGGTGCTAGGTCATTGCTCTCGCAACCTCCTAGACACCCTAATGACGGAAAACAATACGTCAAGTTCGTGAACAAGAATAAAGACCGCCAGTACTGGCTACTCCAGGGAGATGAAGCTATTATTGATCGAACTGACTATATCATCACGCCTTACATCGAGCGTAATCTCCTGAATCTAGTAAGGGCTACATCGACTAGGCGTTTTCCGATTCTTATTCAGGGCCCCACATCTGCAGGAAAGACGAGCATGATCGAATATCTTGCGAATTTTAGCGGGAACAAATTTGTGCGAATAAATAACCACGAGCATACCGACCTCCAAGAATATCTCGGAACCTATGTCTCTGATGCTGATGGCAAGTTACGTTTCCAGGAAGGCCTGCTAGTACAGGCTCTGCGACAAGGACATTGGATTGTGCTCGATGAGCTTAATCTTGCGCCAACTGATGTTTTAGAAGCGCTGAACCGTCTCCTCGATGACAATCGTGAATTGCTTATCCCAGAGACGCAGGAAGTTGTGCGCCCTCATGAAAACTTCATGTTATTCGCGACTCAAAACCCACCCGGTTTATATGGGGGTCGAAAAGTTCTTTCTCGTGCCTTTCGCAACCGATTCCTCGAGCTTCACTTCGACGACATCCCAGAAGACGAACTCGAGATAATTCTACAGAAGCGTAGTTTATACACTGCTCCCTCCGATTGCAAGAGGATTGTTAATGTATATAAGGAGCTCTCAAGGCTACGGCAGATGAGTCGACTGTTCGAGAATAAGGACAGCTTTGCAACATTGAGAGATCTTTTCAGATGGGCTCTGAGAGGGGCTGAGACCAGAGAAGAAATCGCAGTTAACGGATTTATGCTTCTTGCCGAGCGAGTTCGAAATGAGGAAGAGAGGCTTGCTGTCAAGAAAGTTATCGAGACCGTTTTCAAAGTCAAGATCGACCAAACCCAGCTCTACGATATTCATAATTCGCCATATCTCCGAACACAGCCGCCCAACAACGGCCAGGGTGTAGTATGGACTCATGCTATGCGCCGCCTGTATGTCCTTGTCGCAAGTGCACTTCGTCATAACGAGCCAGTACTTCTGGTTGGAGAGACTGGTTGTGGCAAAACGACGGTCTGCCAACTTCTTGCCGAATCTCTTGGCAAGGAACTCCATATCGTCAATGCTCACCAGAATACCGAAACGGGCGACCTCATCGGATCCCAACGACCAATTAGGAACCGAGGTGCTATTGCGGATGTGTTAACCCAGGACCTCATCAATGTTCTGCAGCAGCTTGGACAGGGTGCGGAAGACAGCTTAGAACTCTTATTGGAGAAGTACCACGCCTTAGATGAATCAACTCGATCCAGGATACCCCTTGATTTACAGCATAGAATTTCCGATAACGAAATCAAGAGTAAAGCTCTTTTTGAATGGGCCGACGGAAGTTTGGTTCATGCTATGAGAGATGGCCAATTCTTTCTTCTTGATGAAATATCTCTGGCAGATGATTCTGTTTTGGAGAGACTAAACTCTGTACTGGAGCCTCAGCGCTCGTTACTCCTTGCAGAAAAGGGTATTGACGATTCTTTTGTCAAAGCGTCTGACGGTTTCCAGTTTCTGGCAACTATGAACCCTGGTGGCGATTTCGGCAAGAAAGAGCTTTCACTAGCACTGAGAAATCGGTTTACCGAAATATGGGTTCCGTCATTATCGCAAAACGA